CAACCTTGTTGACTATACACAGTTCTTACGCGAGTTGCAGGGCTCGATGAATGGCAGTGTCAATCAGTGGGTCCACCAATTTGGTCCAGACTTAAATATCAAATGCATGATTTGTGATTTTGGGCAATATAAATAAAAAGTGACTTGATTTGACTTGGATGGGTTGCCATGAAAGTTAGTAAATTTGCGGTCCACAAAGGAGGAATCCTACAGATTCTGGTGATCCCCTGATGTTTCCTCTTGGGTCACCAGCAGGTTTTCAGTGCAATTCCAATTGTGGAAAGTGCACCACACAACACAATACCATTTGAAATGATAAGGGTCTTAAGGCAGGTCCTGCATCATTACTTCATTCTGAGGACCTGTCTTGTAGAGGAGCTTTGAGAATTTTATTTTTTTAGTTGATGCTGTGATTTTGTGAGACATTTTCTCAAAAATGTGGCCCGCACTGGTTAAATACCATGGACGTCAAGGCAAAATATAATTAAGTTTCTAGTCTGCTGAGGTCAATAGGGGCACAACAGCATATTTTTCCTGCAGGGCCCTAAATAAGTACTTTCTGTAGCTATGTTTTTTAATCTGTAGCAAAATGGGTATTGATTTGTCTTTACTGTGGGTTTATGCATCAGTATATCTCTGTCTATTCCTGCATTGTAAGGTGACCATCGATTTGGAGCTCCACCTCGCCAAGAGGACTAAGATCAAGCCTTCCAAAGGTCCTTTTGCCCACTATGACGTATACCTCTACAGGGTGCCCAAAACCAAAACCCGAACACCCAATGGTCCCCGTGCCAAGACTGTTAATGGACCAAGCAGAGCTAAGGGCCGAGTCCTGCGGTGGGAGGACGACATGTACCCTCCCTCTCCCCCATGTTCTATCTGCAGCCCCGTCAGTACTCACTCGCTGCCAGCCTCCGCGAACAACGAGCTTCAGCAGTCCAAACCGTGGACTCTGAACCCCTACACCCCCTGATGAACTGTTACTCATATCTCATTGTCCTGGCTGTCATCTTGAAGAAATGGTTTTGTGAATGTATATGTTGCATTTTGATGGTGTTTACCTGAAGCTATTATTTGAGGAAAACAAAAATTCACAAGAATTTATGTGGGATTTTGCTTCCATAGTTTGACAGACTGTGTGTCAGGTTGCAACCAAAAGTCGGAGCATAATGTACTTGTACATGGTATTTAAAGTGTCTATCTTTAACCAGAACAATACAGTTTATGTGACACGAGAAATGACAGCATTTTGTTATAGAGATCACTGGACTCCTCTGGCAGCTGTATAAGAAATATTTAAAAAAAGCTTTTCCTAAAATTAATGTCAGAAACTCTAAAACAAAAAGGAGCTCCAGATAAATTAGTTATTCGACATAAATACCCAGAAATGATTATGTTGCAGGTTTGATTTTCAATTTCAAACAATTGATGATGGTATTTTTTGCTTCAATTTTATCATTTGTTTATGTTCTCACTCTATTTCCGCACAATGACATAAACGCTAACGTCAAGGTGCAATTTTGGTATTTTTTCAAAACAAGAAAATAACGTTTTTGCCAATTTCTTTCAATCAATATTGTTTTGTATTGTTATTGATTATTAATTGATTTGTGCTTCACAGAAGAAAATAACTGTAAAACCATGAGAAATCAAAACATATGTAGCAGACAAAAAAATTAAATGATGAAAAAGAACTAAAAAATGAATAAAAATATGATAACAAATGACAATCAAAGAGCAACATATTTTGAGCAATAATAATATATATATATATATATATTATCTATATATTTATACTATTTATAACTTTTCAAATGTGTGTGTGTGTGTGTGTGTGTGTATGTGTGCGTGTGTGTGTGTGAAAATTCCCTTTCCCTTGTTAGCAACAATACTATACTGTACTGTACTGTGCCAGTATTGAACCTCAGTGTCTTGCTCAGGAACACTTCAGGGACTGTAGGAGTGTTTAACCAGAAATGCTGCTGATAACCTTCGCAGAGACAGAAACACAAGCATTTACTTATACATTTATGAACCTGTGCCACCATAACATGCAGGCAGTTTGCCAATCAACCAATTTACCTCAACTCATATTTTTCACACTTATTTTTAAAGCTGCACTAATCAACATTTTTATATTAACAATGGATCAAATTATTACATGTAATATGAAAGGTGTCACTCATAGAGATGAACCCATCACCTATCAGGCAACTCTGCAGTCCTCTTCAGCCCTGCAGAGCCTAATAGTAATTTTCAGCTCAGAGTTTTGATTTAACAGCCTGCAATTTGTTTGTTCTGGTTCCATTTCACCATGAACTTTATTTAGTTTTCAAAGAAAGAAGCTCTGATTAACCCACTGTACACAACCTGCTTAGCACTAAATAACAGATAGACTTTTGTGGCTAGCTGGTGAACATAGTAGCGGCTAAAAAGCGTTATATTTCCTTCAGGGGTTGGTAGATACCAAAAAAGCTAAAAGTGAAGATTGTTCTTCCATTCATCAGGTGGACATAAACGCCACTCCAAATGAATACTGATGTTGCCCCATATCTCCTGGATGTGAAAAAGTTTGCTCACATGCCCAAACAACAAGGTGATATGTTAATGTTGTGTTTACCGCTTGTTCTGCTGCCCCCAATAGGCCAAACATGACAATAAATGCATCTTTTCTCAAGTTCTCATTTTGTATTATATTATTTTAATAACAACTCAAAAAACTATCTAGGATCTAAAAAGTTGAGCTGGGGTCTGGTGACTTGACAACAACAGTGGAGATGAAAAGGATTTAGTCAGGTGTAATTACTCAAACATGTGATGTGATCTAGGATTCCAAGGACGGTATTTCTCTCTCTGAGATGTTTAGGAGAGCTGCATTATTAGTAGGGCAATATGAAGTACTTTTGAAGATTAAAATGCAGATTCATTGCATTTACAGGCTTGCTGTGTTATTGAGCTGCTTGAGAGTGACACACTGCCATCTGCTGATTCAAAAAAAAGATCAGCTGCTAATGTTGTAGCTCCCATTTTACTTGAAAGTGCTCTATTCAGCTGTTCTGCATGGACCACCAGTTTAAGATGGATGACTTACAAGAACAAACCTGCAAGATAAGCAGGTTTTCTGTTTTTCTATACAAAGTAGCGTCACACAACTTTTGTTGGCATTGCTTTCAAGAATGGATGATAAAATATTTATGTGAAAACAGGTGTCTACATGTCTGTATTTGAGGTGGTAGGAGATAGCATTTGCTTAAACCTGCACTAACATATTATCACCTTTTAGGTAGATATGGTCAGAGAAAAGATGCATATTTACACGTCCTGCAGTTGGGGAGTTTGATAATTAAACTTTATCATTCATTTGGAGTGTCAGGTGCCAGAGTGTGTCTGGCCACCTGATGAATGTAAGTCCAATATTCAGTCTGAGGGAAATATCTGTTTCTTTAGCTGCTAAATGCTCCACTGTGTTCACTAGCTAGTTGCTAACTGGTTCTGTCTGCTGTTTGGTGATATGCAGTTAGCGTACAGTAGGGTTGGGTCTTACAACATACAAGGTAAAAGGTAGACAACTTTTTCTTTGAAAACAGCTGCCTGCTGCAGCTGAAAACAATGTTATGAGAGCCATGAGAGTGAACCACAACAGTAAAGTTGTAGGCCGGACAGCTAAACAACGAGCTGAAACTAACTATCCCATAAGCCACAGGGAGCTGCAGATTCAGGTGACAATTATAGATTCATCACTACGACACATTTCACACATTGCCACATTGGTTTCACATTGTCATTTGATACATAGTTGTAAAAATTATATATAAATTATATGTGCTTTAATGTCACTGTTTTCCCTTTCAAACTCCCCCTGAGAGTGCTTGATTAAAATAAAATATTTTGTATTACTTGAAAAATAACAGCAAAAATGTAAACGTGCAGCCTGATTTTTCTCGTCACTGCTGTTTGTGCATTAGAACTGAAAACAGAAATGCATTGCAGAAAGCATTAGGTAAGAAACCTCTACTGTGAGGTTGTTAAGTATTTCCTGATAAGTGCTTCTTCATTAATAGCATCTGCTTCTACACTATGACTTGATGCTGCTTCCACTCGGAAAATAAAATCTCATATTTCTAAACAGAAAGAAGAGTTTTGCAGTGAGTGTACTGGTTTCCATACTTGGGTCATTAATCCATAAAAGCAAAATAAAATGATGGTAGGAATGAGGTTCACAAAAAAACACAATAGGCCTAAATCAAAGTTTTCAGCTTCAGCACAAAAGAGACCGCAGAGGATGCCTAATAACAAGATGATTACAGAAATAACTAAATATTTTACATTTTCAGTCAAGGAAAAAACATTTAGACCATCTCAGTTTGTATAAACTGTGTATTATAGAAACATCTTTATGTGTTATGACTTAGTTCTTTCTCATGTTTGGATTCAAAAAATAGAGAGTGGGGCAATGAAGACCACTAGAGTTCAGGTTTGGTTTCTCTGAGGCTTAATTTATCACCATATACATTCTTTAACTTTAAATGTGGCTGACTTTATTCTTGCATGTAGCTGGTACTTCTAGTCACCACAACTACCATTACTGCTACTACTGTTTGTCTACTATTACTACAGTGCTACTGCTACTACTATTACACATTAATACGAGACTACCAGCAAGAGGCGGTGTTTTCAAAGTGGAAGGAAAAACATCGAAGAAGTCGCCATGTGCTAGCAAAGATCGTCTATCAAAATAGCGGTCACCATGAAGCCCACTCTGCCTCAACTGGTTGGTTTTCGAAAAACAAATACGCATGGAAAATATACATGGAAACGTACAATTCAGTCTTTAAATGTGTGTGTGTGTGTGTAGTAGTAGACGTCTACAGAATTTATAAAACTTGTAAGTCTGAATCGAAAGATATTTATGCAACAGTAAACTGTTACTAGCTTCTCCGCGGTCCAAAAGGCTGGAGAGTGAGACCTCTTGCGTTGTTTTTTAAAACTCATCTTTGGTAGCATGCTAACGTTACTTGACATTTAGCACAGCAGCTAATACAGAGGGAAGCTGTCAAATTGTGGAGTAAAGTGAAATCTCTGACGTGTGACACATTTTGAGATCATTTCCCGCTAACAACTCCTATTTTTGAAGCGTTATTTTGGCAACTGTTTAGCTTGTATTAGTTACAGTGAGGTGAGCTAGTAAGATTAACGCTAGCTAACGTTATGTTTCCAGAGCTCAACAGTATCTTGAACACCACTCCTGAAAGTTTCACACAGGTGAGGAACATGTAACATTACACATACCTTTATTGGGATGTAACTTACCACACTGTTCTATTATGGTAGCGTTACTATATGTGAGTTTCTGTTGTATATGCAGCAGTCTTTTGCAGCTGTGTAACTTAACGTTAGCCGTAAAATGATATTCATATTTGTCTAAGTTTGCAACTTCGTCCGAACCTGCAGGGAGAATTTATCTTGGTCTCAGACCGACAGAGTGATGCCTCTTTCCTCATTCATCACTTCCTCTCTTTGTACCTACGAGGTGAGTTATCACCTGTCAGTTTGTTATTAAAATGATAGAAACCGTTAATTCAGGTCTGACATGTTTAATTTAGCAAAGTTTGAACCACAGCTGGTGTCTCTGTTGTTGTTTTTTTGTTTTATTTCAGCACGCTGCAAAGTCTGGTTTCTGGGTCTGGTGCAGTCCCTCAATCATTACAGTGCAGTCAGTCAGAGATTGGTGAGTCTCCATTGCTGTCACCACTGTGCTGTAGTCTCATTTAACAGAGAGAAGAGAAGAGTGTTATTTCAAGACCTCATAACATGTAACGGTAATATTTACCAACCTGTCAGTCTAATTATTTATTTAGTTAGTTATGCACTCATTCGGCTGAATCATATTCTGCATTATCTATGTCTCCTCCTTTTAAAACATACGTTGACCATTAAAGCTGTTCTTTTCATGTCACTAATATGTTTTAACATCATTTGTGGTCACATACATTTTGACAGAGTTTGTAAGCATTTTTCAATATTAAACTCAAGATGAGCACTGGATTAAAAGACAAAAATAATGTGTGTTTTTTATAATTTGACACATATTACTTGGTAGTCAAATGCTGATGTGCTTGCTTGGCTATTATTCTTTGGCTTTTGGTTTTAGGTATGATCACATTTAATCTCTGTGGATCTGTAAAACTAGCCCCTCGTGGCATTGTTGCTTATCACGAGCCTTTCTAGGTAATTTGTAAAATACATATTAATTGTGGCCTGGGTTCACTCAGTTAGTTGAGAACATAGTTAGCGGTTTGTTAGCAATGTTAGCCTTTAGCTTGGTGCACAAGTGATGACGTTGAATCTGTGTGTGAATTGTGTGTCTACAGGGTGTAAGCCTAGCACAAGCAAAAGAAAAAGGTCAGCTGGTTTTTCTAGAAGGACTGAAAGAGTCGCTGTCTGTTTTGATTCCTCAAGAAACCAACACAGGAAGTCAAGCCATGGACTTCCTCAGGTACACACAGTAATGTAATGTTGTTGCAACTTTATTTTTGTTTTTTTATACCTGCACAAACTTATTTATTTTTAGAAATGTGTATCTGTCTGGATTACTAATTCAACAATAATACATTTGCGTCATAGAACATTTCAGGATGCAAAATTATATAGAGCTTTTCACATATTTCCAGACCTATCCCTGTCTGACACCTTGTTGCCTCTTTCTCACCTCTGTCATAATCTCAATCTCCCTCATGTCCCAATCTTTAGGGATCCTGCTGTTGGCCTGAAGAGTCTGTACGAGTTTGTCCGGTCCGGTGTGAGCAGTTCTAGTGGCAGGGAAGAAGAGACAGATGGGGCAGAGGAGTGGGGACCCCCGGTGTTGCTGGTGGATGACATTAGTGTGCTGCTGAGTCTGGGGGTGAGCGTTGGAGCCGTGCTGGACTTCAGCCACTACTGCCGAGCCACCGTCTGCTCCCAGCTGAAGGTTAGATTCTCGCTGTCAGAGCGTGATTGTATTTGCTTGTTTTGGATTGTGGTGAATTAAAGTTAATTAGAGTCTATTATATAGATGTTTGCCATGTAAATGAAGCTTGCCTGACCAAAACCTCCCCACCTTGGTTTTATTTGAGACATTTTACAGGCCACGGGTGAGCTGGTTGTGGTTTAAAATGGCATTTGTGTTTCTGTGTAGTCATAACATGTATTTACTATTTAGCACTGGCTTGCTTTATGTTTAATAAGGGGGTTAGGAGAAAGTGGACAGCTCCAATAATAACTCTGTCCCGTCATCATAACTTTAACTATGACTTCAGGGCAATGTGGTGATGGTGGCACGCGGTAATGGGGAAGAAGAGGAAGATGACGGAGATGATGAAGGCTCAGAAAGACTTTTGAAGGGCCTGACCCATCAGTGTAGCCTCAGTCTTCATGTACAGGGTCTCCCCACTGGCTACTGCAGAGACATACACGGGCAGGTGTGTGGGTTCATTCATACATGCAGTGTTTCCGATTGTGATTGAACAGTTTCTAACACTGCATAGATGTGCCTGTAGTCCAAGTATATTATACTATATTGCGACTGAAGATTATTTTCATTATTGATTAATCTGCCAGTTCATTTATATATCTGTTGATGTACAAAGTGCTGGAAATTTTGAAAATGTTTCATTACACTTTACCAACGTTTCAGTTAACTACCATAGAGGACAAAAGTTAACATTTGAGAAGCTGAAATCAGTGACTTTTATGTCATTTTTGCTTAAAAATCAGAATAAGAATCTCTTTATTTGCCTTATGTACAGAGGAATTTGACTTGGTGGTGCAGTGCGATAAAAAATTAGTAGTAGTAGTAAAGGGGTGCTGCAACATGTGGCAGCCAGCTCCATTCGTGGTGCTAGATAATGCATTAACAAAGTATTAATATTGGAAAGAAATCCATGCACAGACAGTATCAGTAACTTTTAAGTTAAAATGATGATACACTTAAAAGGTTACATACAGTATCTACAGTATCCTATATTGCAAAGGGTTCAGCACAAGACACAGAAAAAGATGTTTAATTCCTGCAATAAAAAAGTTAACCAAAAGTGTGCTTTGTTTTCAGGTGGAAGTGTGTTGGAGGAGGAGACAAGGTGATGGGCAGTACACACAGAAGAAACTCTTTCAGTACAAGGTCCATGATAAAGGAGCCTCCTTCTTTGCTCGTGGGACGTCCAGTGCTGTTCTCTAGTTCCACCTTTCAATGTCCTTGTTTGCCTTTTGTCTCTTTTACATGTGACAACAGACTGTTATATTGCAATATCACCAGACAACACAAATGTTGGTTGTTTAGCTGCCAAAGTGGCTGGTGAACTAGACAAATTTACCAGCCTTAGCCAAGCTTTATGTTTGGATGCTCGCTAGTGTCAACTACCCAGTCTGGACCCCGGACTCTCTGGAGAAAGGACACTGTGATCCTGCCAGCTCATAGCCTGGTTCTAGACCTCTGAATCGCTGCCCACTTCTCAGATTTGTTTCAGCTATTTAAATACGTGAAGGGAAAACAAAATGGCATCTCAATCCTGTAGCGAAGGGCGAGAGCGGTCACCCTACCCGTACTGGAACACGGGTCTACATGGTACCAAACATACAACTTTTGACCACAATGCCAAAGAGCCAGGCTCACTGGTATGGCAGTCCAAGAGCATACCCAACCATAGTGGCCGTCACACTGAAGTGCACCCATGAGCCCGGCTCTTTGGTGTTGCAGTCAAAAGTTGCATGTTTGGTACCATGTAGACCCGTGTTCGAATCGAATAGGATGACTGCTCTTGCCATTCGCTATAAGTCTGACAAACGGGCTGGTCTGCTGAAGGTGTGAGTAGTCTTTTCTTGTTGACTGAACTAACTCTAAGTAACTGATAGTTACGCTGTAGACCAATAAAGAACATACAACATTGGCCACACGGACTGCGGGTATTTGGCCGGAAGAATAATAATAAAGAAATTATCTGTTTATTGCCACCCAGAATCATCTTACCACTGAATGGAGTTGTAACGCCGCTGGATCTTGGTTAAATAAAATAAGTTGTCTGATAAAACAATGCAAAAAGTTGTCATTGTCTGCATCCACACTAGAGGTCGCCCTGTCCCTGCTCCCCACACTGCAGGGTGAGAGGTCGAAGTGGAGAGGGCTCTCTGGGATTTGACAACCAGTAGAAATGAGACGCTGCTCTTGCACGCCAGCATCACGTTCGAGGCATACAGGTTAGCCATTAGCTGCTTTTCAAAACAAAGGAATAATACGGCGGTTGCTTGTCGGTTTGGCCAGGCGAACCTCAGCAACAACTACATCTGGGATCTCTGAAGTTTGTCCAGGCAAGTGTATAAACATTTGTGGCTATGACCTGTTAGCATTAGCGGCATTGCGAAAGTTAGCTCCGTGTGTGGAGGAAAGCATGGAAGCTGTTGAACTGTCTAGTGACATAATGTTAGTTACTGAGTGTTATTATGCTTCATATCAGCGGGGTTGTAGTTGTTGGGCTCACAGTTACACGCATCATTTGTAAAATCAGTATGAGCCCCGGACATCCTAAACGATGTTGCACAATCTAACGTCGTCACTGTGCTAACGTTAAACAAGCTAACTTGAGCGTTCATTTGGAATTAGGTAGCGTTGTTTCTGTAACTATTCTCATAGTTTGACAATGACAGCCATGGTCAGGTGTTTGAAACGCTAGGCTCCTGTGAGGTGTATGATCCCGTTTTTATTTACCACAAACTTTTCTAGGTCATTTGTAAAATATATATTGATTGGGACCTGGGTTCATTGGGGAGCTAACAGCTAGGCGCTTGCTACAGTAACGTTAGCGGTGTATGTTAGCCTTAAGCTTGGTGTCATCACAAGTTGTCTGCAGGTAACGTTACAGAAATCAACAATTAAGGGCAACTTAACGTTATAGTTTTATGGGTATATTTAGTTGTAGCAGTGAACATAAAAATAACAATGCATTGCATAAAATTGGTCATTTAGTTTTACAAAATAATCTAGTTATGGAGTGCTGTTTATGAAAGAAATCACCTCAGTCAAACACGCACTCAGGTAACGCTAGCGAGCTAACAATCAGAGAGTTTTGTGTTAAGTCTTACAGTTAATACATTTTGTTTTCTTAAGTGGCAAACTCAGGTGTTAGTATTTAATTCGACTGATTTGACAAAGTCTTAAAAGAGGTGTTGTGAAAGTTTGAGACACCCTGCAATATGCTGGCAGCTAACGTTAGCTAGCTGTTTTCACTAACGATTGTTAGCTAAGTTAGCGAGTTGACATTTGACAGCAGGTTAAAAGGGGTTCAGTTATGAAAATACGATCGCCCAATCAGGATAAGCAGTTTGGCTTATTTGTGTCATCTTGGGGAAATCGATGATAAAATTTTGCCATTATTTGCATGCGCCCAATGGTTTCTGCACCTTTTTAAACTATGGAATTGTTCACAAAAGCCATCACTGCTTTTTGTTTGAGACGTTGCCAGAGACAGACTCCTCTAACAAATGCTTTGTGGTGAATGTGAATGCAGTTGCCTATATTGTGTAGCATTTCTACTGAAGGGGAAACCTGTGATGAACCACTCAATCTAAGATAAATTCTTATGTTCTGCCTTGTCTTTTTGTAAAGACTGCCCTCATGATAAAAGCAATATGTAATATATATACCTTTTATTTATTTGAGGGCCGCCCTGGGATCTTGTTTGTCACCCCTGGACACTCTAAGCCCTGGCTGTGAACCACTGGCCTAGCTTGTTTCTGGCAGGTGATGTTGCCACAGGGTTGCATCAGCCCCATAATCCCAGTGTGTGTTCACTGTCTTGTAATAACTGTTTCACCATTTTGGCTAGTTTAACTTGATCTAGAACGTAAAGGCAGTTAGATGTGCTGGAAACAACTACTTTACCAAGTATTGTAATATTCTGTTAAATACACGCATGATAACAGGCACATATAATTTATTAAAAATAGTGTGTCCTCAATTCATTCTTTTTCCTCTAAAGAATATGTCAGACATACAGAAATCTTTGTGCATAAAGAGACTGCCTGTCATTGGTCATTACAGTATGGTTACTGATTGACAGGGCATCTCTATTGTCAATAGCTCCGGTTGTAAAAGACAGTGTTGCAGTAATCTGCCCAGCCACGTCGAGCTTGTCACATTTACGACGGGTCTAATGGGAGTCACCGATCAGAGGAGCATGCTTCTACATTATGCAATTGTGGGATTGAATGTCGATGCAGTTATATTACGGAAAATGGACATTGGGATAATTTTTTGCTTACAGTAATTCACTTGAAGATAATGAGAAAGGCATGTAAATGCATTGCATGATACTGAAAGTTGTTGATTATGCCATTGAAATCTATAAACCCTGGAGATGCTTTCAAGCTGGGCATTTTAGGAAGTGTTGAAAAGAGGTAAGCTGGTATTTTTTTTTGCTTTTATCCACATCTCCCATTCCAGTGTATGGTATTTCTAAGTGTACTGTCTTCTTTTGAAATGGCTTTGATACAGTTAATCCACAAACTCAGTCTACCGCTTGCTAACAGCTATGTTGTAGGCATGTGGATTTATAAATCTACCTTAATCTGCAAGCCACCATATAAAGCTGCGGAGACTCTCAATGATCTCCTCATTGCAAGGTGAACCGCTGTGTGGGTCATGTCTGTGGGTGTGTTTTTGTTTGCAAGGAAATGTGCTGGCTTCTCACGTGGGAGGAATATAGACTGTTCTTTGTTAGATTATTAGTTGCCTAGCACGTATTTGCAAAAGCACAGGGTTATTTAATAGGAGACATTTTCCACTCTGTTTCAGATTTATTTGTGGTTTGCTGGGTTTAAGCAGAACGGTAATTTTTATTCCCTCATCTGTAGCAGCTGGTGTATCCCAACAAACACCAGCCGGCCAGACAGAATAGGATTTCTAAACACTTGCTGGTCTCCTGCCAAAGAGGCTGAAGAGAACACACTCACCAGCCATGAGTGTACCTGTACTTGCTTTGTGGCTGGTGTTCATTTTCAGTTCAGGTTGTGAGGGTTTGGTTTTAAACCCTCTGTCAAACTTGTCATGCTTTGAGCTGTGAATTTCTTGCCGTGCTACAGCATACTGGATAGACTGCTGACAGGCTTTGTACCCGAGGAGGAGGGAACCGTGGGGGGTGGCCATAGGCCCTGAGCCCTGCTCGTTGAGTTTCCGATCGGCTCAATCCCGGATTAGTTCCCTGACGGAGATGCTGCTGATCCTTTGCCAAATCAGGTCTCACTGCAACACCCATGTAGAGTAACGCCACAGCAGGCAGTGAAATGGACAGACAGATGAGAGATGCAGGAGGCAGTCATTGAAAGTTTTCCCTTGCCAGACAGCGAGCAGGACCAGAAACTGTGTGAGAGTTGACTTTCCTACAGAAACGGAGCAGGAAGGCTTTACTTCAAAGCCCCTTTTGACCTTTGCAGAACCCATTGTGAAAGCTTGCCAGGACGTTGCTGTTTTTACAGTATTTACAGCAGATCAAGAGACTGCTGAGGCAAATTCCTCCCAGGGAATGTTTCCGTTGCTCCCGGGGGGACAAGCCGAGCAGTCGCACGCTCTGTCTGAATCAAGAGGGGAGTACTATGTTAACCACAAGGCACCGCTTAAGCTAAAAAAACCCAGTGCTGCTGCTTTCAGGGGACATAAACGTCAGCGAGCAAGAGAGATAACATGGTCTCCAATTAGCAGGTATGGTCTCAGAACAGTTCAAGACTTGTATGATGGATACAGCGTGTTAATGTCTGATGTGACAGAGTTGTTGTTGTTGTGTTTTGGAATGTTAACAAATAAAATGGTGCTGCTTATTGGCATCATGTGAGAAGCTGAGGCAAGAGAGAGCTGGTAAGGGTCAGTAGAATGAGATACTGTGCAAATCCAGCTGCAGTATGTGCCCCAGGACAGCCAGTTAAACTTTATAACAGAGCAGTGTGTAGGCCGTGCTGGACCTGTCTGCTGAGTAAACAGAGAGTCAAGAGCTGAGATAGGGCAGAGAAGTCAACACGAGATTGAGTTGAAATGGAAGGAACTGATTTTGTTTGAAGTTAAGTGAACCACCCATATGGCAAAGATTTCACATTTTTTCTTGTTGATCTTAAATCAGTGTTCTTATTACTTTTTTTAGGAATCATATTGTGGCAGTATGAAGATATTGTGTTATAATTTTACAGAATTCTTTGCATGAATGATTCTAACAAAATTTCAATTAAAAACTAACCAAATGAGTGACGTTTTTGTGTTACATATTTGAAGAGGTTTGTCTCATGCATAGTAGCGGCACATACTACAGTAAACATCCTCTGTATTTATGTCAGTTTTTGGGCTCATTGCAGTTACTGTGACTTTCTTCTTAAAGCAGCAGTCGGTAACAATTTTCACATCTTTTTCTACTGCTTGTATCACTCTGCTAAGTCCCTCCCACCAATCCCACAAGAAGGAGCCAGTTGCCCTGCAAAACCTCATCTCGTGTGGGGTCTCGCCAAGACCCCGGCCCCTCTCGCTTCAACTCGTCTTCTCAAAGACGCCCTTCCAACGTATTGCGGTCCAGAGCAGAGCGCCCCAGGCTTCAGAGGCAGCTGCAACAACACCTGCAGCGGCTATTACACCACTGTCTCCCGTCAAATGTTATTCCCTACGTTTTGTCATCATACCTCTTTCCCACACATCGATATGAGCCTGAACTCTGTCAGCTCTACTGACACAAATATCAGCCCAAATGTTCCACAAACAAATGTTTCTCGCTTGATGTGTTTAGTCAGAGACGTTTTATAGAGCAGCCATGCCACTTTAGGAATCCTCAGTACAACTCTACGGGGAAAGCCCGTAACGCCAAAGATGGCGGTTAAGTTTTTATGTCCCAGTGACCAGTGAAAGTGCAGTTATGGCTCTCTCCCTGTTCATTCAGATAGGGGCCTGGTCTTGTTAGTCCGAAATAACTGCCCGGAGGCGTTACCAAGATGGCTGCCGAGTGGCAGGATTTGCCTAGAAGGACTTTGGTTTAATCCAATGATTCCTGGTCCTTTTATTACCTCATCTACACATGGAAGTTCTTACAGATGTTAGCTTCAGTAACGTTAGTGGTCGTTGAGAGAAAAAGTTATGCCATCACATACGGAACTTTTGGGTTTGTGGTCTTTGTAATTTCATATTTTCATTTAGTTTTAGAACAAACTGTGACTTTCTTTACTGTCTTTCTTTCTTTACAATCATCATATTTGTAATTCAGGGCACAATTAAAAAAGGGATCAAAAAAGCTGTCTCCTGCCATTGACCATACATATTTATTCCGAATGAGGTCCCATGGTGGTCCACTGGAAGGGGAGCGACTTCGGCTCTCTGCATTGGGAGCAAAAATGACAAGAAGTTATTTAAGAATTCCCTACTGCTGCTTTAAGACCTCTTTGTAATTATGTAAATAGTTCATGGGGTCAAACTTCATAACATTTCATTTTAATGCACATTTGACATGGTTTTCATATGTTTACATAAGGTATTGGCTGTTAATAAATGTTTTTTTATTAATGCAAACAAATTGCGTAGTGTTGCTTATTGTATTTGTGGTTTTCAAAATAAAAGTTATGGCGTGTGTATTAGTACTCTACGGCACATATTAACAATACTAATAACTGTGATAATTTTGGTCACTATAATTGTGATGTGAAATTTTCATACCGTTTTGTCTTGACTGTAGTGTCACTGAAATTATACAGTGCAGAGTATTGCTGCCATATCTGAGGAACTGGCTGGTGGGCTGGTGATGAGCAAAGTCACATAAACAATCAGCTGCAGCATCTATTCATTAATGAGGAATCAGGACTGTGGCTCCAATCAACGTTTATTTTCACTATTGATTAATTTGGTGATTATTTTCTCCATTAGTCGATTAATTGTATGGTTCAGAAAATGAAAACAAAAACCTGTAGTAGCATCAAATGTCTTTTGTCCCAAAACCCAAAGATAATCAGTTTACAACTATATAAAACACAGAGAATCATCGAATCCTCACATGGGAAAGGCTGGCAACAGTGACTGGAATTTTACTTGAAAGTAAAAAAGATTGATCAATCATCATCAAAATATTTGCCAAATTTGCTGATTCATTTTCTGTTGATGAACTAAATTATTTATCAACTGATTATTTCAGTCCTCAACAGAATGACTGTTTATCATTGTTTAAGGACTTCTTACTATAAATGAATGCTTTTAAAGCATTGGGGCTGCAACTGACTTCTTACTCATGTTAGCAGATAGTGAAGTTATAAGACCTAAAGATATTCTCTTATCTTAGAAGAATAGATATGTGAAACTAATGTCAATTCATTTATCCATGAATCACAGTCCCCCTTGGCCAGTGTATCCCTTTGTTCTTTCATACCTTAATGGAAGTGGAATTTACCCACTGTCCACTAACAAGGGCTGTTTCCAGGGAACCTGGTAGTTCAATGAGACAAGTACAGTACATCTGTTTGCTTCAGTGTAGCTGCTCAGCCGGAGTTGCGTGTTTTGCATGTAATGGGTGGGAGTGTGCCCGCACCTTTAATTAGCTGCTGAATGAGTTGTTTGTTTAAGTGCTGTGTAGTTTTACCCCTGTATGAGCTGTCCTGAATGAAAAACACACTGTGCCTGTAGTGAGCAACACTTGAAGTATGTAGCCAAGTAGCTGTTCAGGACAGAGCTACCCTGTAAGAGCTGTGTGTGTGTGTGTGTGTGTGTGTGTGTGTCTTTAGATGTACCACATGAATTGTCCAATGACATGCAAGATGATATCGGTCATCTTCTAAAGGCATGTGTTCACTCTGGCATAGACATCACTGTAAAAAACGTTACAAGTCACGGACACGGTGGATATTTTACAAGCATGGACCAGGTGAAGCAACAGTGAACACAGAGTGCAGAGTGCAGGTTTTGGTTATTTGATAGACAATCGCGATGTGATGTCTGTCAGCCATCGCCAATGGACAATGGCATCAACAACAAACAACGCAATCCCCCAAAAAAGTATTTTACAAAGGAATTAAAGAGAAGAGTGTCAGTGTGTGTATAAAACAGCAAATGTTTGGTATTTTTAATCAAAATTATTTATTGATTATTACAATTTTAATAGATACATTTTCAACCTTTTTATATACAGTCTATGTTTTCAACACACCAGGTCTAATAGATTTTATGATATACCACAGCACCCTCTTGGGTAGGGATGCACTGAAATGAAAATTCTTGGCCGAAGCCGAAACTGAATATAATGAAATTGCCGAATACCGAACAAGTACATTCACATTATTTCCATTTATTTTGTCAATATTTTTTTACCATTGCATAAATTAAATAGTCAAAATGTGCTTTTCACTCAGTGTTTCCCACAGGATTTGGAGAGACAATGGGGGTGGGTCCGAGGCCCGAGAGGGTCTGGTAAAGTAAATTACATGCGTCCAGTTACTTTTAATGGACACATGTAATATGTTTTATACTTTCTGTGAAAATTATCCAATTAATCTTATTTCCGTCCTGTATAGACACCTTATTTTGAAAACCTGACGGTGTCACACGTGTATCCTCGAGCTAAATTCATCAAGTCCGACCCAAATAATGTTGGATGTGGTTCTCGTATGGCGTAACATGAAGACTCGATAGCCTCTCTTCAGGTAGGACTCTCCTACTGCAACACTTGTCTTTGTAAAGAGAGAAATTGACAGGATAAAATCGCTAACCTGCCTGTCAGCTCGCACTGGTCCGTTACAGTGGATTTACCAGAATAAGTGTGCACTCAAAATTTAGGTGCAGCTAGCATTGTCTTTTCACAAACGAGTGGCAAAAACACTCAAAGCGGGTCAGACCGTTTGTTGCCTTCTCTAAGAAGTGAGACAGATGGAGTGGATGTGCTAAGAGACAATTCAGCAGAACAGTGTCTGCAAACGCCATTTTTGAGTCTTTCTCAGACACTTTAAAATGCTTCCACACTGCCGACATGTCAACGTAATTGTTTGGTAAAATTTCTTCGGTCTTTTGATGTATTAGGCCAACACCTAATGTTCTTTTTTTGTTTGTTTTGTTTTTTTATTCTATTTAATTTAATTTGGGTGGGCGAACATTCGGCTCATCCCTACTGTTGGGTCTTGTTTTTAGCATAATAATTGATATTTATACCTGTCTAGATGTCTGTGATGTAGAGGTGACTGTATGTGGGTCATTGGTACACATTACAGTAGCTTCTACAATGTGAAAGGCAAACCAGTGATTAAACTGTTGTCTCACTCACTCCTCCAGGTCCCTGGATGCCCCGCGGCGCACCGTCCTCGGCCGCGCAGTGCTTCCCAATGGCCGGGAGTTGACCCCGTCCGTCAGGATGACGCTGCGCGAGCAGCTAAGAGAGAAGATCTCGGCGGCCTTCTACCGCCACGGCCTGCTGTGTGCCTCCTACCCAGTACCCATCATCCTCTTCACCTCCGCCAGCATCCTCACCTGCTGGTAGGTGTTCTGTGTGGGTTTGGTGCTGATATTTCTATGCTAAACATTTTGATTACATTTAGGATTTGTTTGACTGCTGGTAATATTAGTTTTTTGTGTCAGAAAGGTGTTGATTTTGGTCATTTTGTCAGCGTTAGTTTGTAATGCTGTTAAAGCACTAATGAGAATCTGAGTATTCACTACGAAGATATGAAATGGAAGTAATTTATTTAGCTCTATTGTGGTGAAATTGAGTGGGATGAATTCCACACATTTCTGGTATCTGAATTGACTTCAGACTCTGATTGGCCAGGTGTGTGTAGGTGAGAAAGTAAGTAGGGTGAACTTCTTTCTCAAGCTTTCCTTTTCATTTGTTAAACAACTATTTCTCTCCTGAGTACAAATAAGTGCAACACTATGAACTTATTCCTGGAAAGAATGTGTGCCATTATCCCCATATTTAAACAAAATCACAACTACCTATGTCAGGTCCGAGCTTTAAACATTGTTGTCACTTATCAAGAATTTATTTCCTCCAGTGAAAGACGTTATACAAGCCAACACTAACTCTAGTGCTAGTCTAGCAGTAATAAGTCTTCAAGCAACCCATGATGCGACATTCTGTTGGAAACCATCTTTCCATTTAAAAGGAATGTCTGATGTGTTCAAATTTAATACAACAATCACTTTTTAAATGTATTTTCCAGAAAAAATATCTTATAATCAGGACGATACAGTATTTTAAGAATACAGTATTTGATAGTCAAAAGATAGATGTTGTGTTCGTCCTGCTTACAGTAGGGCTGGTGTTGGGATGGATGTATAACTCCAGACCTCTTGGTAGTACCTGCTTTTTAGTGCAGGCTCCATTAAAGGTGAGAGAAAAGCAATCTTGTCATCCAGTGTAGACAGACTGACTTATAGAGAAAGTGATTGGACAGAGGAGACAAATAACCGGCTCAACTAATCTGACCTGGCCATCTGTGCACACATTAGAGCCCCCCGCCGAAACCATGACACAAACATTCACTTTCCACACGCACATATCTACTCTTGCTGAATCTCTGGTCAAAAGAGAGGACGTAGGTCAGAGAGTTGGCCTGGCTTCAGCAGTAAAGGCATTGTAAAACAATCTCAGCAATCTGAAACACACACATGCACCTGCTGCGTGCGGTCCTTGCAGCGCCGCACAGCGGGGGTGCCGACCAAATGGACGACTGACCACCTCCCGGGGCAAAGTGAAAGAAAAGAGCTTGATGACGGGGATGATAAAGGCAGGACCAGAGCAAAGGGCTGTGAGAAAATGGTCCTGTGAGAATGGGAAGCCTGTCCCTCCATCTGCCTGTCTGGAGGGGGGCTGGCTCCACACAAAAGAGGCCTTTGTGGAGGTACAGTGACCTTGGAGAGTCGGGTGGGCAGGGAGGGAGGTGAGAAATGGTGGAAAAACGGAGGTTTTTATCCGCTTTTTTAACTGACAGGCACATTTCTAGAAGGGAAATAAGTGATATTTATTCAACACAAACAACACAAAATAACAATGTTAACGTCCATGTGGAAGTTAAGTTATTGATTAAAACCACCGACTAATTTTGTGTGTGGGCTAGGGCTGCAACAATTAGTCGATGCGGAGAGAGGCTTTTGTTTTTACAAGTTTTGTACGCTATTTCATCACTAAATACACTTTTGAGAAATTTTGAGCTTAGAAATCAATTGTGTAGAACTTGAATTTGAGAAGCTTCACAACCACCCGCAAGGTTAGCGGTGCCGGCCGGCCAGTCTCGCCCACGGAGTCCTCTGATCCCTGTTACTTAGACCACTGCAGCAGCAGCAACAACAGAGCAGCAACGACAGAGGAAAGGCCACAATTGTAAGATAGTTTCAATGTTATTCTGTCTTTACAATCTAAGTAAGTAAATCAAGACACATGTGGCTCTTAATGTAGCCTACAGAACATTCTCCACTTCTAAAACTTATAAGCACTTTGGTAAAAATAAACTACAGAAGTAACATTCGTATGAAAGGGAACTGTTGCTTTATTATTCTAAATAGACATTACATTATTAGTGTACAGTTGTGGTTGTAGTACTTGCTTTAAATTTACTTTTATTTTATATAGTTCCAAAGCAAAAATCTTTATTAAAAAGTTAAAGTTAAAACCTACTTGGCAAAAAAATCAGATTGTGAGCTTAGTGTTTTGGGTGATAAAGCCTGGCTGTTCTTTACATTCTTGGTTTTAAGGTCTCATTGATGATGCTGGCTAAGAGATTTTAGTTGTTAGCAAACACGTTAAGTGCTATAATAAATTAGTGAATTATAGGAGTGGCCTACAATGTCTTGTCGTCTTCCCTATTTTTTCCCTGTTGTTGATACTAGTATTCATTCAATAGTTAACCTTGTTCACTTAATGGTAACGCTAGCTAGTTAGGCTGTGTGCTGGACATCAGTAATTCACTTGAAAGATATTTAATTAGTTAAATGTTTTAATTAGGATTTAAAAAGTTAGGGTGTGACAAAAATAATTGTGTCTAGTCGACTAAGAAAATAATCATTTCCACCGTGTTTTTGAGGGCGTGCCTGACTAGCCGCTATGCTTATGACGCATTTTACGATGTGGTGCAACATGGTAACAGAAAAAACTACTGTACTACAATGGAGCATTTTTTCAAACCGGTCAGGCGATAGTAACTTCCTTTGAGGTGGGCTTTGGGCTTTTTCACTTTGCAAACATATTACATGTGCAAAAAAGATATACAACACAAAAAAGTAAAGATGAAAAGCCAAAAAGCACAATATGACCTCTTTAATACATACAGAAATACTAATACTGTGTCTCAATTTGCGCCCTTCCATACTCACACATGCTATTTTAAGTGTAAGTCCAAGTGTGTTTATAAAATAGAGGGTGTAAAAGAAGAGGACATGGCTACGACTTCATAGAATGTCTATTAGTACAACCCAACGTTGATAGAGACATATTTAGGTGACCAAAATGGTACAAGTATCCTAACTTTCATGAATTGAAAACACACTGTGAAAGGATCAGAGTTCTTGGAAGAAAACACAGATAGCACTCAAAAACAAATTCACGGCTAGTTCAATGCAGCGCCCTTAACCACTTTGAAACTAACACCTATTTCCAGGAAAAACTCCTAAAATAACATACCCAAAATAAATCAGTAATAACTCGTCAAAACCAACTCCTGTAATTTTGATGAAAAGAAACTAATATACAACAGTTATTAGACAATTTTTCAAAAATATACTAGGCGAATGTCCATGTTTTTGCCATATTTACTGTTAAGTTGACTTTTTGGGAATGTTTTTCAAAACACTATTTCTCTCCATACAGCCACGTTCCAAATACCATAAAGCTTACAAAACATTGAAATATAGATAAAAACAGTGAATATTGATCAACATTCCTGTGACCAAAAGCAACCCCATGCCTTTACAGGCCCACAACTTGAGAACAGAACAGCCTACTATGTCTGTGTAGCTCCTACGAGTCGGCCAGGAAACGACGATAAAGACCGTAGCTGTTTCTCAATCTGCGTTCTTTTCTGTACTTGTATTCTTGTGGACTTGTGAGACGTCATAAATCGCAGCCAAAGAACTGTTCCAATTCAAAAGTCCGCATCTAGCCAAGTACAGTCAAATACCCGGATGTGTTCTCACTCCGCCCGTTTTACCGAGCCTGCAGCGGTGGTGACTTGTGTGGACTTCAGATCGCCAGATATCCCAGAATGCATTTCGCTGACAAAAAGCGGAAATGTCGGATGAGAAAACACACAACTGTAACATATAATTCTGATGTTCTCGTGTCACATATAGTATTTTTATGCGGGAATGTATATGTAGTTGATTTCTCAAGACAGAGCTGATTTAAAACGGGTCAGGCCGTCATCAAGTCCGCTGCTGTTCCAATTGCTGAATGACTGACTGCGTGCTCCCGTTCCTGGGAGTTTGTACTCCCGAGCCAAACTTGCCAAGTCCGAGCTTTAAAGTACAGAAGTTCGAACTTTGCAAACCAGGTATTGAGAAACAGCCCGTCTGTTCCACAGCAACACTTCTTCTCTCCTTCATTTTGACAAGAGAAACGAAACCTACCAGCTCAGCTATTGCGCAATACCAAGATGGTGGCCCGCAGCTATCATTTCACACTGAAAACAGCGAAAACGGCAAAAGTAGTTAGCAGTTGTAACTGTAAATGTATATTGATGCGTTTGTTGTTATTAGTCGGCTAATAACTGTGTTTTGTGATTTGAGCAATATGAGTTACACAGCTGATCAGAGCTGGACCTGAGCTTTCTTTAGAGTGGTCGGGCGGCGGTGTAGGATGAGATGAGAGATATGTGGAAGGCAATAACTTCAGCCATGTACAGTGATTTCAGAGAGATTTATGTTGTGATATAAGTTAATTTAGATGCTTGGTGTTTGTGTTTGGTGTGGATAAAAATGGTCCCTTTGAGATGCTACCTGAGCCTTCTAGCTTCACAGAGGTGTGTAGCATGCATAGGGTAACAAAATAGTAGGATCGTCCATGGATCTCCCATTTGCATTTTGAGGCGAAAATAGATTGTTGTCGATGCTTATTAAGCTATGTAAGCTTTTTCAACGGCGCTGGTCAAATGTACACATTGTAGTGGATACGAGTCGCCTCTATCCTTATTGACAGGTCACCATAGTAACTTGTCAAGATAGCCCAACCTGAAGCTTTTTTTCATATTTTTGAAATTAAATTTACTAATTTACTAAATGAACATCATGCTGTGTTAAAGAAAACTTGAAACTAATGATTGAGATCATAAACCCATTTGGAAGGTGTTTACAAAGGTAAATCAGACATCTTTTTGAAACCAGTGAAGTTGCCCCCTGCTGGCCATTAGAAAGAATACAGGTTTAAGGCACTTCCTCATTGGCTTCACTTTTCAGACCCAAAGGCTGTCGCTTGGTTCACACTAATGCAGTACACTATGACTACCCAGATGGTGTACTAATAACAGTCAAAAAGCTGAGTGTGGAACGCTGGACACTTCTCACCCTCAACAGTCGCTTGGCTACGTAGCAGAAAGGGAGGGGACCACCACCCTTTATTCAAACTTGTGAAAATGGTGGCAGAAGAAATTGCACCCACAAGTAAGCAAAAGTATGTTCATGTTTAATAAAATTTAATTGAACCTCTTTGTAGTCTCTATAGGAGGGCTTTCACACATGTAGAGGCGCATAAAGCAGCGTTCACAAACGGCAATTGCCATTTGTAACGAGATTTTTAAATTCCTGCTGGCGATATAAAACTACATTTAAACATGGAACAGCAGGGAAAAGAGTTTTTGTTTTTTTAGTGATTGTTTGCTGTGTGGTAAAGACATTACCTGTGGAAAAACTGTCGGCCTCTTAATTTTGATAGCCCACCCGATTTTTTTTCTTCTTCTGTGGAAGTTTTGGCAGCGTCTTCCCCGGTGTGCTGTGCTGATTACTAGGGGTGGGAATCGCAGAGTACCTCACGATACAATACACAAAACATGCCTCACGGTAACGATATCGCGATTCAGCAATTCTGCGATAATCGATATATCGCTAGACAATCCTAAAATGATACATCACGATATCTGTCTAAATATGAATACAAAATGCCTGTGAAAAAGTTAAATCCAAACTGTTAGAAAACAGCACAATTCTGCAGCACAGGTTTGTTCAGTCCGTAAACCGTCAAAGCGCTATTTTTTTAAAAAAATTATATGTATCGATATGATTGGTTGGAATATCGATACAGTATCATGGAAAACGTATAACGATAAATTGCTGTATTGATTTATTGGCACACCCCTACTGATTATGTTACACTGTTAACACATCAGCATGATTACGCAATTGCAGTGACAGAAATGACACAAAGTGCAACTCTTGCTAGAAAATAGTTTTTACCATGAAGACACCTGTCAGAGTTTTGTCAAGCTGGAAGTGGAACCAAATCTGACAGAGGCGGGCTCCCCGTAATTCTCTATGTAGGAGAAACTCGGGTGAACTGTTCACTGTGCTCTGGCCTTTTCTTGGTCTTGACGACAACCCTGTAGCCAGCTTTTCTTGAGGGGCTCTGTCCCGACTCAACCGCCTACTGTAAAGCTGATAATGACATGAATAATGTCAGTCTGACACTAGGCTTAGTTGTGCTTGAGTGCTAAAAGTTTTCTCTCCCACGATTGTCCTTTTAGAAGGATTGGAATTTGCTGTGTTTTTGTTAATCCTGTGATGCAGAAAGAAAGAACGTGTCCTGTACACAGACACGTACTCTTTTCTACATCAGTACTGTGTGTATATCTTTTTTAGATGTGTTCCATAATTTATCCAGCTACTGCCACCACCTCAGTCTCTTAACTATGTGTCAGGGTTGCCCAATACTACCATTTCACTTACACACACACACACAGAGGAAAAGTGGTTTAGTGCTCAAAGGGAACTTGTTTCATAAGGACCCACCCATTTCTAGGAGAAAAAGGGAGTGGGTCTCACCAGGTAGTACTCCATCTGGCAAGAAAAGCCGGAGGCCCTGGTTTTATGTTCTCGGTTGGGTTGCGTACTAAAAAAAACACACAGTCACAATACTTCAAACAGAAGTGTCCAGCTTCAACATGACTGCTGAATTGATTTGTTTATTGGTATATAATTATATCTGGTTCTATCAAGTTAAAATGTTTTAATCTGCTGTGCAGCTTCATGGATACTAACAATTGATAGTGTGTCCTTTATTTCACATTATAATACTTTTTGGCTGCTATTCTGGCATGTCTTTAGGCTTTGGTAAACTGTTATTGGAATATTTCCAATTTATAGACGAAATGGTCCTCAATTGACCCTTCGCGAAGCCCCCTTAGTTACGACAAGCTGTCGTACTGAGCATGCGCTGCCACTGTCTTATTACTGCACTCCCTGAAGAAATATTGTTTTGGAAAAACAAAATTACGATCTCAGAAAGAAGCAGACAGAAAGGTTTGCCATATGCATTTGAAGGTTACATTCAAACTGATGTGAAAAAAATAAAGATTGATGCATCACTTCATGCTTGAGACAGAGGACAACAATGTTAAGGGTCAACACTGTTCCTGTAAAGTTGGGTATGTCTAGGAAAACCGTTTGACCATATCTTGAAAAAGTCACCAGAAAAAGCTAGTAAACGACTCCATTTGCATAGGAGTCATCAGAGCGCCGCCATGAAAGTGTCGGACCTCAGTTAGAGCAAGACCTATACTGCGCTGTGATTGGCCAGCTTGCGTAATCGCCTTAGCGAAGGGTGAATTGCGGTCATAATTTCTAAAACCTGTACTGCACTAATGTCCAACACCAGTTTAACTGAATTTTCTTCTTCCATCTTGAAAACATTTTAAATCGCCACACTTCTATTATGTACCCTGTGACCCCCTCCCCCCTTCCATCTCTCAGCTATCCGTTATTGAGGCTTCCCCTGCCTGGGACAGGTCCTGTGGAGTTCACCACAGGGGTGCGTGACTACAGCGTCCCTTCCCATGAGCCTCAAGGAGACCTCGGAGAACGGCCCGACTGGGTAGGAGAAGACAAAGCACGCGCACACATTAATCGAGAATTGTTTGTGTCTGACCGTCACTTTTGTCTTTGCTCCATTTAACTGCATTCATTTCTTAACCTTGAATCCTTATCCTTGTAATGTAATGTGCATCCTCATCTTTCCACAAAATTGTCCTCACTCTCAAAGTCTAAAACTGTTTATCAAACGTTGGCATGCAGGTTTCACTGCAAAGATGGAGGCTCATGAATAACGAAAGCGCAATATGAGCACAAAGCAATGTCTCACTTAATTGTCAGCAGCAGTTTTAATTTACTGTAAGCTTTAGAGGCAGTGCAACAGGACACTTTACAGAAGACTGTCTGAGTTCTGATTTAACTAGTTAACTATTACTGATGCTGATGTGACTGGTTCAGTAGACAAAGCGTTTCATGTTGTGTCACCAAATGTTTGTGTGTGCTGTAGTACCGGGGTCCTCCGGTTGCCTACATCCAGCAGGTGTTGGTAAAGGCGGCGGTGTCACCGTGGGACAGCAGTCTTGTGCCGGTGGACGTGTTTCGGTCACCGCTGGGTCGAGCCTTTAGCCTGCTGGAGGAGATCCGCAACCACGTTCACTCCGACAGGTAAACACAGCCACGTACACAGTGGTAGATGACGAACCAGATGTTCTTTTCAGTAGAAGGATGTCAACCCTGTTTACGATTCTGCATGTACCAACTATAGACAAAAGTAGTGCTGCAACTTTTAAATGAGTAATTTATTAATCTGCTGCTTATTTTTTTGAAAAACAGTTTAAAAATACTTAGCTCAAATTTGTCTGACCAACAATCACCCAAAGATATTCAGTTGCAGTATTTCAAATAGAAAAATGTTGCCTTGCAGTGAATTTCTGAATGGGCGAGTAGAGGCCATTAGCTTTAAATTGAACATGTTGGCTGTTTTTCTATGACTGCTCCTCTCTTTTCCACCATTGTTTGCAAACCAGTAAATCCCAGTAAACAGTCAAATAGCCACACAAGTCTCGCTGATGACCGCCTGAGATCGTACGTCGGCATTAAATGTATTGTTGGTAATAGCAGCCAGCGTGCAGCAGTGTGTTTACAGTGAACAGCTGATTGAGCTACACTAAAAACTGGGTCTGGAGTTGTTTTAAGTTTTCATCAGTCAGGAAGTTTTTGCACAGAGCCGAAGTCGGTCTCCTCTCAAAAAGAAGCGGACCATCTGATTACAGCAGGTAATAAAGCTTGTTAAAAGACACGTTCCTCCGACGCTCAGGGACACAGACGTGATGCTGCCAGCTGATCTGCAGCTCTTGTCAGCTGGAAATGTTTTAATAACCTTCCAAAGTTATTTTTGTGTTGCTTCCTCTCTGTGCTGGAGTTATTTTAAGAACTTGATGGCTTTATCTAGTTTGTTATTAAATTTGTAACAAACTTTATTGCATGTCTTTTCATTATACTGCCACAAAAAAAAGCTGTTTTAATGGTCAAGCATAGCCTATAGTTTTTCATTATATTCCAGTCAAATCTGATGTTCATTCATAAATTTTACTCATGGATAGTGGTTACTAAATAATGATCCCTGTGCATCGCTTTTTACGACGTATAGGCCGACAGCCTACGTCAGCTGGTTAATTTGCTTAATCTTCGCAGGTCTTTAGACCACAGTGGAAACGCACACAACACTGGGCTGAAGGAACCTTTTAGTTCCTTGAAAAGAGATCCGGGAACTTAAAAGTCCCAGGTACTTTTGGTCGAAATGCGGCTTATGACCAAAACAAACTGTGCGTTTCCAGCTAGCCATCTGTATTATACCGAGCGAATGAGTGGTGATTTAGAGGACAGTTTCTTGTTTTGCTTGGAAGTTGTACAGTTGATCTTAATAAAGTCTGTTTTAAATTAAAAAACAAAATGAGTTAAGTCAGTGATGTTTGAGGATGTCATCTTGGGCTTTGAGAAACACTGATCGACATAGACCAAACAATCAATTAATCGAGAAAATAATCGTCTCTGAAAATAATCGTTAGTTGCAGCCCTTGTTCAATTATGCAAAAAATCTTCCCCCTTCCTCTCACCTCCTCCCTTCTGTCGCTCATCTTGTCTTCGTCTTCTCTTTCCTCTGTCAGCTCTGGGCTTCGCAGTCTGGAGACGCTGTGTCTCCAGGTGACAGACCTGTTTCCAGGGTTACGGCGCATGCAGTCTGTGCTGCCAGAGCACGGCTGCCTGCTCGTCTCTCCTGGTAACTACTGGCAGAACCAGCGGGAGCTGTTTGACTCAGACCCCGACCTCCTCAAGACCATCCAGAAACATGAACCGAAAGGCCTGCACACTTCGGCCACGCTGCGAGGTAGGGATGAGGAGGGTAGATGTTGTGGGAGAAGCAAATGTCTTTCCTTTTTGTCTTGTCAAAGAGCATGAGATGTGAGTTTAGTCACCTTTAGAATTGACGCCCACTGAGGTTTTTTTTATTTTAAAGTTGAGCTTTTATGCTATTATTTCTTGTAGTTGAGACCACATTTCTTTTACTTCCCCAAACCCTCCTGAAGAGCACGATGAGACGCATACATTTCCATCTCATCTGATTCACTTATATGTAGTAATTATAATTGTGTCACCATATCAAGGGATTGAGTGGTATGGTGGTTGCAAAATAAAGATGTGGAATTTATTCAGAGGCTCTGACTGCCTTGTTGGAAGGAGTCTGCCATCATTCAGGAGTAATCGTAGGGTAGTGAGCTGGGGATTAGTGGTTATCAGAAGACTAAGAGGCTTTCATATTGACAGAGAACAAGCAGTTTCATTCCTTGGGAACTTGAATTCGCTCTAAAACCCAGTGACATAGTAAACTAAATCACCCTCCCTGCCTTGGCAAAGCCAGCTCAGCAATTCTGCCTCACCTTCCAGCTCAAGTGATTTAGAGATGGGAAGCTATTCTGGAGCTGGAGTCAGGGACAACTTGGCTGCCAGATATAGTCAGACTGAAACTTTGTTCACATAGAGCTGACACATAGAGCTGACAAGAGGCCAGTCAGACTGCCATAGGAACCTGTATTGTAAAGCATGCAGCCGTCATGAGACGGGGGGGTCCCTCTCTCTCACCCACCTCCCTCTTCATCTGTGCAAATTAATAACAGTCCCTGTAAATGGCATGCAGATTTTATTGAGTGTACTTAAAAGTGGGGTGAGCAATTCTAATCCAGTCTACGTCTTTTTCTCTAATTCAGCAAATATCTCCTGACAGTCCGCTACCTGTACGTTCTGTGTGTGAACTGAAAATAAAATGGGTGTTTGTACACAGCGCCACACACTATTCCACCCATTGCAGCCGTTATTTGTGTGTCAGGAAATGTTAAATCACTTGCCCACTGACATTCAGCTTACTTTGTAGTTCAACAAGACATGCTGTTGTTGTGATGTTAGCTATAGTAGCAGCAGAGTTGTGAGTGTCGCAGTCTGGAGCTTGTGTGCTGTCTCTGGAACCGTCTCATCATGTCTGCACGTTAGCTTTGCATCAGCTGCAACAGTTTGCTAATCCACAACGTAGGTAGCATTAGAGACATTACTCGCTATCTCGTTGTTCACTCAGTAACATGAAATAAGATTTCTCCAGAATCGGTTACCCCAACTTTAAAGAGGCTATTTAATATAACAGATGTGGGGATGTTGAGCTGGTGTTAATTACTTTGACGCTGGAGTGTGACTAGTTGGTCTTTTGACTTCCTGTTTATCAGTCACTACAACAGGAACTTGGTTGTCATTTACACTGATGTGCTGTAATATGTGTGTTTAAAAAAAATTGTTTGTGTGCTTTAGACCTGCTGTTTGGCGTCCCTGGGAAGTACACTGGGGTCAGTCACTACAACAGGAAGAGGGTTGTGACGTACACAATCACTGTAGTGCTGTCCAGCTACGATGCAAGGTGAGTTACTTGTGCAATAGAAAGGAAAATAAAAGTGCAGTTTTTCTTGAATTTGATGCATTTCTGCTTTTCTCCAAAAATCACTGTTTGTACATTTAGTTTAGTTGTTGGTAAAAAATATTTGTTTTAACTTTATGACATCATATAAAGGCAACTGTCATAATGCAAAGTCTGCTGCCCCTATTTAGGATTACATTTTTAGGGCCATTCCAATAGTTGAATAAGTGAATCATGCAAATTTCTTTTGATAGACCAAATTAGTTTGTTTTTCTTTTGGCAGGCTGCATTTATTATTGTCCAATATTACTGCCAGGCTTTTATTGAGCAGAGACCTGCTATGTATGGCTGGAAATTTAATCAAAATTTATTTTCAATCACAATTGATCTGTTTAGCAATGATGCTCTCGTCTTGTAAATACAGGCCACCCCTTTCCTTTAGAGCTGTGTGCTCTCGCCCTTCCTATCTCATCCAGGCAGTGTCATGTTTAGTTCAGCTCGAGCCAAGATGATGGAGGTTGTAACTTTTATAACTTGTTAATCACCATTTTCAGCTGAAGCCTACGACACTGCATAAATTTGCCTAGCAGCTAGCGGACTTTCCTCTACTCATAGCTTAACAAATGAGATATTTTTACTTGCCATTGGTTTAAGTAACTGCATATCAGGACAGATTCCGTCATCTCCTTGCACTAAAACATGCTGTTTGAAGTTAAAATTTTTTATATCATGGGCTATTTGGGGTTTTAGGGGTAATGCATATGTATAAAATTTTAAATATAAAAGTTTAAAAAATGCACGAGTAATCGTGTTAAATAATCGTGATTTCAATTTTGCTAATTTGGATGTGATTTGGTCTGTCAAACTCAAGCATAACATATTTACAAGCCAATCATCTGCATCCTACTACCTTTTCCTCACAATAACTGTATACATTCAATCTGCTCTGCTGATGATGATAACAATGATCCTGACGTCTGTGCATGTCCAGATTCCTGGACAGCCTGCGGGCCCGTCTGAAGCAGCTCCACCCGTCAGCTAACTGCAGCCTGAGAGACGACCACATGGTTCATGTCCACTTCAAAGAGGAGATCGGCATCGCTGAGCTCATCCCCCTTGTCACCACATACATCATCCTTTTTGCCTACATCTACTTCTCCACACGTCAGTCCAACTCCCCGCCTGTCTGCTCTGTCCTGTGTGTCTTGTTCCAGCAATACTTATTTTGCTTGCTGTCCTTCTTTTGTCCTTGTTCACACATCTCACACCACTTTGAAATGTGCCAGAAATCCAGACTGCCTATTGTGCCTTAGTGTGTGCACGTGTGTTTGTGTGCCAAGGTTGTTCCTGTCTGGTGCAGGGATAATCCTCACACAGGAACATTGTACGCCTCTGTAAGAATGAACTCAACTAACCCTCACGACTGGAACAAACACACATACACATGTACACAAAATGAATATTCACATTCAAGCTGAGTAGTTTGGATGATAAAACCTATATTTTTGTGTTTCTCTTGCTCTGTTTGTTTCAAGTCAAGAACTCTTTTTAAGTTCATGTTTATTTTAATAGCAAATTTGGTGTGACATTTCATTAAGTGGCATCTAAATGTTCTCTTTTATGAAAACCTTAGCCCAAATATGATTACAAGTCAAACAGTAAACATGGGTAGTGAAGTAGTCACTTCAGCAGATCATCATTTGAAGGATTTATTGAGAGTACATCTCCACGGTCGAGGTGTTACATAGTTACAATAGTTAATCTAACAGGTGTATAGCTGTATGACTCTATGGATAGCTTCAGTGTCCTGTCCTCAGCATATCTTCTCTTCCTCCTTGCAGGTAAGATTGACATGGTGAAATCTAAGTGGGGTCTGGCTCTGGCTGCTGTGGTCACAGTCCTCAGCTCTCTGCTCATGTCGGTGGGACTGTGTACACTGTTTGGACTGACACCCACGCTCAATGGAGGGTAGGAATGCTCACTTTTTTTTCTTTTTTCTTTTTACATCACTTTTGGAAGATTACCAGAGGTTTTGTCTCCACGTCTAGTTAGTTTGAAGGACACAAACTAAATAAAAATAAATTCTGAGAGTTTGTGATTTGTTTTCGCCAGTAGAAAATTTTTCATTTATAGCCGTAACCTTATTAAATGCAGCAAATGTGGAGACTATTTGGAATCCAGGGCTTCAAGAAATTAGTTTGACTTAAAATGCACCATGAACCTTGAACCCTTTCAAAAGTTTATTTTCCCACTGCTTAAATTATCTTTAGCGGGGTATATATCAGACAGGAAACTTATTACAGACCTTTGGGTCTTTTTTTATTAGCCATGCTAGTGGCGTGACTCTGTGGATGGCAATGTTGGTCTGTCAGTCCACCACTTTAGTCCAGATGGAAATATCTCAACAAGTAGTGCAGACTTCTACTTCCACCAAGAAGGTTGACATTTTTGGATTTTAGTGAATGGCTAAGGCAACTATTCAATGGATGCATGCGATTTGGTACTGATATCTATGATACCCACTGCCCAGAAGATCTAGCACCATCATTAGTACAAAACTTTAATTTGTCCAATACTTTGGTTAATGACCAAATACCTGCAAAACGATGAAATTCCTTTCAGCCTCACTTGTACTTTGTTTTTAATGCTAATTAGCAAATGTTAGCAGGCCAACACGCTACTCTTGGCTGTGAATATGGTAAACATTATATCTGCTAACATCCGCATGTTAGCGTTGTCATAGTTAGCATGTTAGCATGCTGATGTTAGCATTTAGTTCAAAACACCAGTGTGCCAAAGTACAGCTTTACAGAGCCGCTAGTATGGCCGTAGACTCTTTGTGTTGAATCAGGAACATGTCAACATCTATCTTACAGCTTGTGTCGCGCATAACATTTTTCGATAGAGGTAATTTTCTCAAGACCAAATGTAGTGGAAACTAATCTCCAATTTATTTATAGGAGAACACAGAAACATCATTGAATTTAGCTTCTGGGTCACACTTGGAACACTTTCTGCTGCTGTTGTGAAGTCCTCATTATGCTCTTCTACTGACATTCAAATGTGTGCTGTTAATATTTACTACCCCAACAGGCCATTACAGTTTCATCGTTATCTCTTATCTTATTCACAGAAAGACAAGGACAGGTCTACCAAAACACACACACATACACACACCAGCTTATTGACATTCCACTTCCTCTACATTGACTTTACTTCGATTTGCGTTAATGTTTACAGCAGGAAGGCAAAAATACAGTGTGTTAGTTTGGATGAAAAAGATGGGACAGGGGGTGGATTTGGGTGGAACCTCACGAGGGGGTGGAGATATAGTGATATTGACATTTAATGGTCGTCCAATCATTTGAGGTTTATTAGAAAGCAGACGTTGTGGCGTGACAGTGGCACACTTTTGTCCAACCACTAATCAAGATCCACGCAAGTCCCCTGTGGGCTGTGCTTGTACTTTCTCTGTGTTTGCATAAACGCACAGTAAGGTCAACATAACCAAGATATGCATGCAAGCTACACATTCCGCTTACTCTTGGTCAAATCCACACACAGGGCTACTGAGTGATTAAGTTGTGTGTGTGTGCGTGTTTGTTATGTACAGGGTTACTGAGTATGTCTGATGTAACATGCAGAGCTGTTGACTCTTCTGTGACCCAGTTATACACTTACTCCTACGGTACAAGCATATCTATAATGTAAAACTAATCTCTCTGTACACTTCGACAGAGTTGGACACTTGCCAAACACTGATAAATAATTCAATGTAGTCATCATCTCAGTCAGCTTAGTCAGCCAGCTGCTCTGGCAGGAAGAGAAACCTCACTGTTAAAATCATTGGTGTAGTTTTGGAAAGCGTCACACACACTTCACTCTCACTGTGACTAATGGAGAACCTGGTGATTCACCTGACTTATTGTAAATGATCATCTTGATGGCCACACAGTTCTTTATTTAGCTTCTGGTGAAATAAATAAGTAAAGCTTATTTATATAGCACCTATTACATATGAAAATTACAAGCGTTTCACAATAAAATGCGAAACAATACAACAAAGTGAAATGCAATATGAAATGAATGACCACGGAGTCATTGTTTGTGACACACACACACAAAAAGTGATTCTTCACAACCATTTCAGGTTGTTTTGCTTCTTGCACTTCTTGCTCCTAGGAATGATCATCTGCAGTTTATACACTGTAACTACACTCAGAAGTGATTCATGTTTTTTTTTTTTTTTTTTTCATTTTACACCTGTGTTAATAGTTTTGTTATTTTCCATCTGCAGGGAGATTTTTCCTTATCTGGTGGTGGTAATCGGCCTGGAGAACGTCTTGGTCCTCACCAAGTCTGTGGTGTCCACCCCCGTCGACCTCGAGGTCAAACTTCGCATCGCTCAGGGTAAGGAAGAGAGAGTGTTAAGGTTGTTTGTTTAGGACCAACAAGACCACCAACCAGATGCAGATTAATCAGTATATTTCTACTATTCACTGAATCGTTATCCTAATTTTTTAGGCTAGTGAACCGATTCAAAGTGTCTTACTGCATACGTTGGCATATTAAGTATCTCTTGTTTGTTTCTTAAATGTTGGTCTTGTTTTTACAGGCCTTAGTAATGAGAGCTGGTCTATCATGAAGAACATGGCCACTGAACTGTGCATCATCCTCATTGGATATTTCACCCTGGTGCCAGCTATCCAGGTAACAGAAATATGTTTATGCATCAGCAAAAACAAAGTATAGTAAATAATAGTTAGATACGTCTCATATTCTGAGACAGAATATTTTAATGTAGTATAAAAATAATTGAGAAACTATGAGAAAAAGAAAAGACACACACAAACTATATCCTCTATCTTGTCGCACTAAGCATTGTGTGTCCGTCTTGCAAAGCATGACACACTCCATCTAAAAACTATAAGAACTAGCTGAGGAGATTTCTCATTCTCTTTATCAGCCTCTTTATTGATCATTCTTAAAATGGAGCAACATGTACTGCTATAGCAAGCTAGCTAGTCATCATGCCACAGGTTGTACCAGTTTGTTACAGCAAGAAATGGTAACGTGCTTTGCCTGATCTGAGGTCTCCACTGGTTATTTCCATGTTGTAGGAGTTCTGTCTGTTTGCTGTTGTGGGGCTGGTGTCTGACTTCTTCCTGCAGATGTTCTTCTTCACCACAGTACTATCTATTGACATACGACGCATGGAGGTGAGAAGTTTCACACATACAAACATTCAAACCTCCGTTTGTACTTTAAATACTACGAAATAAAATTATCGTTTTGCCTTTCACACATTTTTAATCACAATTACAGTCAAATCACAGACATGAACCCCGGTTTCCTCAAAAATAGAAATAAGTAAATTCCGGCAGGCTGTGATCGTTTTTACCACTGCCCCCACAGCTGGCCGACTTGAACCGCCGCCTGCCAGCCGAAGCAGGACTACCTCCGCCCAAGCCTGGCCCGCTACGAACACGCGAGGTCCCCCCTCCCCCACGACCCTCCCCCCACACAATTACCCTGCAGACCCCGGCCTTCAGGAACCTGAGGCTTCCAAAAAGACTGCGTGTGGTGTACTTCCTGGCCCGCACACGCCTTGCTCAGCGCATTATCATGGTGAGAAGATGGATTTAAAGCTAACCGTAAATCTTCGCTGTGTAATGTACAGTATGTTGTCTCTCACTTGTCTTGCATTGTCTTCTTGCACTGTTCCCATGCCTTCTGTGCCTGGATTAATTGTTTTACTGATTCCATTCTCACTGTATTGATGTCACAAAGACTGACAGGAACTGGTCTGGCAAATATTTGTTAGTTCTGTGACACATCAATGTGGCTGCACCCTCAAGCTCACTTTTACTTGTGTGCCATTTCTTTAAAGTAGCTTTGCAATAGATTCCAGTTTGACAGGCCAGGTAGCTTAAGACTACATACACATTAAGCTAGCTAAATCTGAAAAAACAAAACTATCATTTGAGTGTTTGATTTGATTGTGAGAATGCATGTGAATAATAATGTTTGTTGATAAAAGAAACGTTAGTTAATACGATAAGTCAGAATGACAAAAATAAAATATTCCTGATGATCCAACAGTATATGATATGATCTGTGAATATGATAGATGTACGTAAAAATAATGTAAAGAATGCGAGAAATTCCTTTTTAAGAAAAAAATAGAAAACAACTCTGTAATATTACCGTCTGTCCACCGTAAAACGAAACTTAGCATGACCGCATCTGATCAGAAAGCACCCGGTGTTATGTAGCGGACCACAGACAAGGTAACAGCAACTTTAGCATTTACCTGAAATCATGATTGATGGTTGAGTTTAAGGCTAGCCAAAGTAAGCCGCAGTCCTCAGCTGTAAAAGTACGCCAAGCAAAAGTACTTCTTAAACGATGAATCGATGAAATAATCTATAGAAGCTTCGAGTACTAAAATCATCGTTAGCTGCAGCCCTACAGTAATCTCAGATGACTGATCGTTATTGATCATTTACTTCATCTCCAGGTTGGCACGGTTATCTGGATCGGCATCCTCGTCTACACCGACCCGGCTGGAATACGCACCTACCTAGCTGCACAGGTGTCCGAGCAAAGCCCTCTGGGAGATCCCGGAGGAGGTGGTCTGCCCCCTCACCTGGGGGTGGCCCCCGTCTTCCGTGGAGTAGATCCTACCAGCACCCTTAGCATCCACGCTGCACCAGATCCAACACCCTTACCTGAGAACCAATCACAGGGCCACGATGGCTCAGCCAGAGTGGGGCCCCACCCCCAGGCTCCGCCTGCTGTGCCCCAGATCACCTGGGGGGCAGAGGATGAGGAGGGCTGGAGGAGGCTCTCCTTCAGGCACTGGCCATCGCTCTTCAGTTACTACAACATCACTCTAGCCAAGAGGTGAGTGGGGCCGGAGAGATATTCAGTGTTCAGTCCCAGCAGAAGACAGTTAAACATTTTGACCTAAGTGAGTCCATTTTAGGTTGACAGTGGTTGGGGTGGTAATTTCTTGAATTCAGTTGCTGAGCAAATATTAATACTGCATAAACTCATTCACCAATTATGAAAACGCTGGTTAAATAATCTGACTTCATCCTTATAAGGTCAGGTGATTCATATTATTTGATTTTAGTTAAATAAAATGAAAGAAACGCTGAAAGACTTTTACTATGCCGTAGTTTACTACTTTATTCAGGCGCCGTCAGATAGCAGCTTTCTGATTTTGGCTTTAAACATGATGGTGAGAAAGTCAGGAACAAAGTGCCCACAAGCTGCAAATCCTTACTTATTGGATGAAGTGAATAAACCTCCTTCATCAGCAACTATAGTTTGCATTTTGCTGCTGGTTAGATTTGTGTTTATGGCCATACATAAAGGTGCTTTCACCAGTTTTGGATTATGCATAAAGAAGACCCTGTCAGGTTTTGTAATATCCTCTTTGTTACGGTCTGTCCTGTTTCAGGTACATAAGCATCCTGCCTGTCATTCCTGTCACCGTTCACTTGAGCCCTCAGGAGGCCATTGAGACACGTCACCCTCAAGACACAAGACACCCCCCTCCACCCATCCCCAAAGTTCCAGATCTACAGACAGACCTCACCCTCTACAAGTTAGTACAACTACCCAGTCATACGTTTTTCCAACTGAATTTAAATACTGAACAGGCCTCAGTGTTTCCTTCAGAATGACGTGTAACTGTGGCGGCCGGGATGTGGGTGCGTCTTTTGGATTTTTCCATTTTCACAGCAGCAGGTGCGCCGCACGTGGAGGAGGTTTCTTAATGACATAACCTATAGAAACGATCAAAACCAACATGGTACCGAATGACATCTGCACCGGTGTGTTCACTGATCACTGTTGCTTTAATTGGTCCGTGCTTGTCCGCATCTTGTAATGTAATACCAGATAATATCTCATCAAGTCAAGTCTGTATGTGGGAAACACTGGGCCTCTTAATCAGGGTGTTGACATGCACTCTAGTAACCTGGTCATTGCTGCAATTTTTAAAGAGCTCATGTACGTGACAACTTCAGTAAGAGACAATACTCTTAACAGCAGTGGGGTAGGATGAAATTAAAGATCATCACTAATAGCTGTGCATTACATATCTAAAATGTCTAATTGCGAAGTCTAACAAAAACTGGAAGTGAGCTAATCAAGTCAGCTTCAACAGCTCAACAAAAGTTCATTGTAAAATACATGCTCAAAGTAAAGCGGTATTCTACATCATGCTGTAGTGTCATATTACTAATGCACTTTTAAATATGTCCGCCTTAATTAGAAAATAAGGCAGTAGTTAGTGCGACCAGCTGCATGTATATGTGTTTTTTAGTAGTTAATGTCTTCGGCTCCTCGTTTCTGCATGTGAATTTCATTCTTCCAAAATGTCTGGCCTAAAATATGTAATGACTAGACTAAAATATTACACAATGCAATTATTTGTTATTTTTACCTCTGTTGTGATAGTCACATATATATTACAACATTGAATCACATTGTAATCAGGCTTCGTTGGGGGATCAAAACATTTTTTTCCAGCAGTAGCTTTTTTTAGGCCACTATAAACTGATCTGATATAAAATGATGTGGCAAAAAAAATTTCTTTGGAAATCTTCATCTGGATAAAACACTCACACAGACTGTATCTGTACTGTAAGCAGGGGCTACAGCACTTACAGTTCCACCAGGGTGTCGTTGAACTGATTGCAAAATGGACATTAAAACCTTTGTAGGCAGTCTTCATCTTAAAGTAGGTCCAAGGTGGTCAAGGTCATTCTCTCTCTCGATCTACAGACACACACACACACACACACACTCTCACTCACTCACTCACACACACATATATATATGTATATATATATGTATGTATGTATGTATGTGTATATATATATATATAATATATATAAAAACAAAGATTTGAGGTCAGCTTTGGGTAGGATATAATGACACGTTGGATTTTTTAAGATTGATTTTGTTTCCTTTTTGATTAGCATTTAAAGATATTTCTGTGTGATACTGAGAAGTGTTGATTACTGAAGTTGGAGGAATGTACACAGAAACATGAACCCTCCGTTGTGGGCGTTTTAAGGGGCAATGTTTGGAATTACTCCATGTAAACCAGCCCTTGTCTTTTACTTCTAGAAGAAAGTAATAAAGGAGAAGTTATATCTTTGACTGGATGCATGACCTGCACTGTGTCAAGTCTCACTGGACTGATTGTTGTCTTAGCTGAGGCCAAAATAGAGACAAAGAAAAGGGAGGTCACTTGTTTTCTCAGCCTTCTTTAAGTATTGTCTCTCTCTGACCGGACCAACTGGTTGATTTAAAGATACCTGAGCTCTGTGATGTAATGGTTGAGAGAAAGATGAACTTTACTAGAACAGTTGAATATGCCACTTGGTTAAATGCATTTCTTTAGTTCTCTAGCTTCCATTTTAGATTTTCAGTGACAAAAAATGCATGTAATCATGCATTAATTGTGTTTATTTACCTCTCTTGGTTGCTTGTAGTAGAACATCTTTGCTGGCAAAGCTGCCATTTTAAACAGGTTTTGTCGGTACGGTTATTTAGATTAAATGTATTCTCCTGTTGATACATTTAAAAATGTAACATGGAAATTAAGTTAAAATAAACAGATCCTCTGTTTTTTTAGGTGAAGGCCACAACAAAAATGAGAGCTTGCAGTGTAGTTTTCACCTTGCTGTGTTGTGTAAGGCAGTGTGTTGTCACCCTGACTGCCAAGTAGAAGGTTGACTTCTTCGGTTCATCTTTGGACGGTAGATACGAAGGCTATCAGCTCAAGTTGGGTCAGGGTCATGACCTTCACAGCGGGAAGTGACGGCTGAGTTTATGGCATATTTTTATGACCCTGACACACAGAGAAGGTCATTGTCATTAAGGTGAACATGCGGTTATAACCAGATTGAGAGCGACTTGCAACACAGTGAGGCACACTGATTAATAGCTAGTTTAATCACTAGAATAGATCTTTGCTTGCAGCATGTTGTTTAGGCAGTTCACTTGTCCTGTCAGATACTCGCTCTGCCGGGGGACAGTCTGTGTCAAGAAAAAGGAGGAGTTTTTGCCTCAGGTTGGGAGTAAACAATCAAACAATGAGGTGAAAATCTAAGTGAGTACACAGTGCAGTTATCTTCTACTGGAAGAGTGAGCAGTCAGGTTTGGTGACACTGTTGAAAACACTTAACAACAAGTTAATAAACGCTCTATATCATGTCCCCTCCTGATGCCACCTAATGCATAAGGAGGATGGAGGATTGTGGGTAGTGCTGCTGGAAGATGGGCTGAAGTTATCATCATATGTGCTATTTCTATAGCAATCTCAATTTTTCTGAATACAATTTTACTGAAATACAGGCAGAGTGAAAATAGATGCGTGCCAAACCAGGTTGGTGGCTGCTATACAGAACAGGGGGAACCGTAGATGAGAGTCCAGAGTGAGAGAGTCTGATCCAAGCAGGTCTAGAGCCGAATCCGGGAATAGTTTAGGGGGTCCAGGCGGAGAGCGCATGGGATGAGCGCTGTTTCTGGTAGCGGAACTAAATCGAACACGTTATAATGCAAAATTCACTTTTAATTTTAATTATAGCGACAAAATGCTCTTCTTCTATCGGCCTCATATAATTAGGCTTATTTGCATTCATTGTGTTGCTGTTTGTTTCCAGCCTACAGTTTGATACCGATTTTTGAAATTTGACTGTTTTGATCTGTAATGAAATTAAGCAATTGTAAAATTAATAAACACCATAACTTCCACACTACTGCTGCCATCATTCAGTTTAAAGTGCTCCCACACTGCTGAGGGCATCATTTCGTTTTCCCTTTGATGTGGACTGGAGTGTTACGAGCTCTGTCAGCGGAGGTCAGGCGCGCGAAAAAAACCCCCTCAATAATTGAATCTCATAATTGAATATCGAATGTGTACCCAACGGTCGAATATTTGAATATTCAGGTCCAGCCCTAGTATCTATGTCATGAACATTTAACTGACCCTTTTATTACCGGTCTCTGTTTTTGAGCACACAAAATCATTTTAAAAGACATTGAAGAATCTTCAATTGGTTGATCAGTTTTATGACCCAGACAATCACGAAAATAATCACATGAATTGATAAGGAGCGTAATCTTTATTTGCAGCCTTTATGCCTTCACATTTTCAATAATCCTTCCTGCCTCTTCTACTCTGTAGTATGTGTTTACATTCTTAGGGATGGGGACTGTAAGTCTGCCACATGTTCAACCCTCCACATTGTGCCAAATCTCAATCCTTAACTGCTAGAATCGCAATATAGCACACTATGTTCAATAATTGAGAACAGCATATATTTCTGACACTGTGTACGTGCTGCACTGCCATGTTCATGGGCACTGCCAGGATCAGATTTGATTCCCTCTAGAGTCTCTCCTTTCCCTCATTTCCTGTGCACTCTCAACTGTCTAGTGAAAATGCCTCTCCTCCTTACAGCTTCTGTTTAATGACACATTTCTCAAACTTCTGCATGAAACTGTACCTGTGGTGTTAAAATGTGAAGTGTAGTTTTATAGGGCAGCAAACAGGGTTTTAAAAGACCGGTGTAACAGGCAGATGAAGTCACACTCTTCTGGCAGGTTTCATCATCACAGTTACGCCACATTCCACAGCAGGTAGTGGAGCAGGCACGTGTGCTATTTCATGCTTTGTCAGGTGGATAGTTCAGCACACTGTAGGATTAGGTTTGTAAGTTTGAACCAAGCGGCAACCTCCTGCTCTCAAGAGTAAAGCCAATGCGGAAGTAACTTAAGCCTGCATTTTTTCTAAGAGCCAGCAGGGGGCGACTCTACTGATTGCAATTGCATTACAAATAATGGTAATTCTACTTTTCACCTGATTTATTATCTCAGTTAACACTTCCCCAATGAGTTTATGGTCTCAGTCACAAGTTTCAAGTCTTCTTCAGGTTATGCTGTATTGTGGGAGTACCTTGTGATTGACAAGTCGCTACCATGGTGACCCATTAATCAGACTAGAATGACTCGTATCCACTGCACGGAATTGGTTGGTAATTTATTCCGGTAAGTACATTTTGTTTTAAGCCTGTTTGTTGTTAGCAAACATTAGCATCACGGTTAAAATCACAGTTAACTTAAATTACACTGCACCTAGCTAACCAAGCTTCCTAGCACTACTGTCTCATCCAAATATAGTCACATCCGGTGCCACTGGTTGCAAAAAACAGGTGACATCACGGTGACTACGGCGACTTCTTTTATACAGTCTTTGGTTTGAACATGTAAGGGAGGAGCTGCAGAATAATTTTGGAGGGAAACTCAGAGCTGTCACTTGTTGTTTTGTATGGATTAAGTCTCTTTGCTTTTTAGACAAATTTGCATCTTTATTAACGTTGCCTTCCTGAAAGTATCCAAAAGATGTTGAAAATGATAGAAAACCAATAGGACTTGAATATGCATGTGTAGGAAAAATATGGCCAGACTACTAAAAAAAAATAACCTAAAAATTGTATTCTAGTTAAAAGTGCGACATTTGTGGAATAGTTGCAGTAAAGAACTGAAAATATGTGGTACATTTTATAAGTTTAATCAAAATGTTTTTAAATAATGAAATGAAACGATATAAAAATGTGGCCCCTGAAAGGCTGTGGTTGTACTGGGCAAAGAGTGTGAATTGTAGAAAAACGTCCTTTATTTGTCCCTCCTTCTATCCAGGGTTGCAGCTCTTGGCCTGGCGGCGGGCGTCCTGCTGGTTCTGCTGCTCTTCTGTCTCTACCGGGTTCTCTGCCCACGTAACTACGGCCAGAACGGTGTCGCTCATGGGCGCCGGCGCCGAGGGGACCTGCCCTGCGACGATTACGGTTACTCGCCACCCATCAGCGAGATCTCCCCGCTGCTGCTGAGGGGCCACAGTATGGTGAGAATGGACCAATTATCTTGGTCAAAGTGGTTTGCACACAGCCGTAATTTAATTCATTGTTCCTGACGGCATTTTAATAATCGGAAATTTGCAGGATATGGTCTGTAATTGACATGAACATTCAACAGAACAAAGAAAGACAAAAGACAAAGCCACACTTCTTGAGGAAATCTTTATCTGATGTCTGTGGCGATTAAACTTCCCAAAACTGCTTAGAAATCATAATAAAAAGATGCTTCAGAATTCCTGTGATAGTTGCTGGGGATTTTGAAAACAGGAACTGCTAATAGCTATTTCATCATACTTGTAATGGCGTAATAGCTCTTAATAGTGTCATCATTTAAATTTTTTCTGTCATCGTATCGGTTCCCAAATAGGATATGATGATGTAAATGTAAGCATGTTTCTCCATCTACGGGATTAGCAAAAACATTTTTTGACTTCCTTCATTTTGAAACAAAACTCTCACAGAAAACTGATGGGGGGGGGGGGGGCAGCTCTTCACCAGGAAAAAAAATATTTTAAAGGACATCCAGGGCTCCTAGTGTAGAATTTTATTTTTTCTTGTCTGGATAAGTATGGAAAAAAATAAAAGTATGTATAGAAACATTTTCCCTATTTTGTTTTTCCTGCATTTATTTTATTTTTTTGTGGCATATGGAGCAGGCAGCCAAAATGTGCAAACTTGATGTCGTCAAAAGCAAGGCAAGAAGTATGGCAGGTGACACATTTTATAATTATTTATTAAAGAAACATAAAAATATGGGGGCAGTTATTTGGCAACATAAAACATACATAGTCTGAATGTGTTATTTTTTATTTAACCTTTAAACAGGCAAGTTAGTTAAGAACAAATTAATATTTACAACCACGGCCTGGCAAGAGGAAGACATCCTCTTGAAGGAAGGGGCACATGGGAATACAGACTATGAAAAATAACTCACTTATGTTATGTTAACAGTTGGATTTTAAAACTATTTATTTGCATAATAAACATCTAGCTATTTGTACTCGGATATCAAACATGATCCACAAATCTACTAAGAAGTCTGGAAATTTCAGTTTGGAAAAGATGGCCTTTTGAAATGGAAAACGTGTAGGAAAACTGAACATCGCCCCGGAAGGGATTTAAGTAACAGCAATTTAGTCGGTTGTTTGGAAGCTACTTATCACTTCAGTATCTGCAGATAGAGTTCACCGTGTACACAGAGACAAAGGTTTAGCTACTGAAACTGGTGTTTAAGTTACATAGTGAACCTTAAAAACCTGCTCCTAATTGTGCCAGTATTAATGAGTTCAGTTGCCTTGTTCCGCATACTGTAATTATTAAATTGTTCTTATATTACTTGGTTTATAGACACATATTTTACATGTGTGCAATTCACCAGAGGAGTCTAACTACAGTGTCCGTTTCAACAACAAAGCCAAGCTTCACTGGGCCAATTAAGAACACTTGAACAGGAATAGAAAATTAGTTGTGGTGACTGATTCCAAACTGTAAGCCAAGAAGAATCTGTCACCTGCTACCCAAAAAAAAACTGTGCAAATGAAATAGAAAATTAAAGCCTATTTGTTCATTTGGCCTTTTTGTCTTGCAGGACATTGAGTGTTTGGCCAGTGACGGGATGCTGCTGGCTAGCTGTTGCCTGGCAGGACAGATTCGGGTTTGGGATGCCCAGACTGGAGACTGTTTGACTGTGATCCCAAACCAAGGGTGAATGTTATTTAAACCTTTACTGTATTAGGCTAGCTAAAAGGGATTTCAGTTGCGATCTTCTGGTGATGCTCATCCCTTATGGTATCACAATTCCACACGTTTTACTATTTTGTAAAAACTTAACATGTAAAAAAAAATATACTCTCAGTTGTAGAACAACGATGCTGTAGGCAGATCTATCAATTTATTATTACCCATCTACCGACATATATTTCATTAACGATATATATCTGCAATGAGTTAACATCCACCCAAATTATTAGGCAGACTGATTTATTTCTCTCAATAAGGATTATTTGATGGTACCTTGCAGCTTACGAACTGAGTGCTCCGTTTCCTCCTCAGACTCAGACGGAGCAGCAGTGGCTGCTGGGAGCAGCGGGATGGCTGGGACAGCGTGAGCGGAGCAGCAGAGTCCGAGTGTTTTGGCACTGAAGCTCGCAGCTCCTGCATCAATGGTGACGGCCTATCAGAAGAAGAAGGCTACCCGCTGAGACGCCGCACAGCTCGGCCGACTCTATTCACCGATCAGCCCGATCTCACCCCGCTCATTGACACCAACTTCACCTCCCAGCCCCCCTCTCACCTCTCCACCCCACCCAAAGGAGGATTCGACTTTGGAGGTCTGGTGGAGCGCGCCTACATGGAGCACGAGCCCCCCTCACCCTCCACATACCCCTCTACTTCCTCTGCCTCCTCCTCGCCGCCCTCAGGATCTCAGCTCCAGAGAAGACCAAGTTTAGGGGATGCAGCCGTCTTCTTAACCCAAGAGAAGGCTTCCACATCAACGCAGGCGACAGCAGACTGGGAAAGCTCTGTCTGGGCCATGGAGCTGAGAGGAAATCTGATAGCTGCTGGGAGGAGCAGCGGTAAACTGGAGGTGTGTAAAACTGTAATGGAACTCGGAAAAGATTTCTTTCTGTATTCACATGCCTTATCTGCTTCTCTATCTGCAAAGCAAATAAACGCAAACATGCTCAGTCTTTGCACCTTTTATAAATATTTTAGGACAGTTTTCTTCATTAATGAAATTTAAGATCACAATATTAAACTTTTCTATGTATGAAATGAAAAATTTCATATACTTACTGGATATGCTTCCTACCTCCACATGCTTAATGTTGTGTTGTTTAAAGAATTTTAGTCACACTGAAATGAAAAGCATAAGGAATTTAGAAAAACTGTGGAGGCTAAGGAGAAACAGCAGCTTGATCATGTGTCTGAAAAGGGTTTTGGCTTTGAGAGACATACTTTGAACCCCTGACTCAAGTCGGTTTTATTTATATAGCCTGATAACACAAATCACAATTTGCCTCAAGGCTTTCCTCTGTCATTCTGTGTAAAACATCAACTACAATGGATACAATGCTCCATAGACATGGAAAATTAAGCCACACTTTAAACTCATGTCTGGTTACAGTTGTGGGATGCAGCGGAAGGATCGTTGCGCTGCAGTAATGAAGACGGAGTCTCTGGTATCACAGCTCTAGCCTTCCTCAACAACAGGTAAAACACTAGACAAGATACACGAAATTGAGACAGTATTTTCACTACTGACACTATTTTTTAGAAATCTTCAATGAGGAAAAATCTCTGGAAAAATTGTCTTTTATTCGACTGAAAGTCACAAAATGCAAAACAATGCAGGTGCGTTTTGAAATGTTGCTGGCATATCTTTCACTTGTCCTTCACTCTGGGTTCTGAAAATGCTGCCACAAAAAACTTCAATGCTAATTTTGCCTTCACACTCATCATGCTGATATCGTGATACAGCTTTTCTGTTTAAATGTTGCCTGATCTTGTGGCATGTCACACTATAAAACACACAAATTAGACAAGTTTTTGGTGCCACATGTATTTCTCGCTTGTTTCAGGTTTTATTTAAGTGTATGTCGGAGAATGCATTTACCTTTCATGTAGGTAATTTACTGGGATACAACTGAACACTAGGTTCATGACTGTTTGTGTTGTTCTGGGGGAAATTATTTCTGGGAAATTTCTTTTCTGTTTTCTGAGCAAAGGATTATACTCACTATTATTGCACACTTCTATAACTGCATACTAAAAGCTAAAACAAGGTTTATACGAAATGTTTCTTCATATCACATATAGATAAAAAGATGCCGTATCAGCCAGCTAGTTGCATCTCAATGAATAATAAACAAAATACAGTTCAGATGTACTAAATTCATTGACAGATCTCAAGTGCAATATGTAACATCCGCTACACTGAGACTCCATGTTTTTGCTCTTCCTCAGAATCGTAGCGGCTCGGCTAAACGGGTCTCTGGATTTCTTCACTGTTGAGATAAACAAACCTCTGGGTCTGCTGCAGTACAGAGGTGAGGCTCAGCCACATGTTTCATTACATCTGTGTAGTGATGTTTTGCTGCAAAGTACTGGTTTTATTTTGCCCAGTAACAATCTCTTTGGAATTTATGCATTTCTATATATTCTTAGTAGTCTCTTATAGTCTTTTTCAATGCTACATTTAACTAGTTACCATATGCCATTGATAGCTTTTTATTTATTTTGATATATCTGTAATGTAGTTGTTCACATGTACATATTAACCCTATATTTCATGCACTGCCTTATGGTAAAAAAAATCCTACTGTTGTCCCTTCCTGTTGTCAATAATACTAAATAATTCTGGAAAACGACATTCAGTTGTAAACAGTTGGCCACCTGTACATAAGTTATGCTTTTGCATCCTCACTGCAAATATCATTTTACAGGGCATACATTTATAAGATGCATGTAACTTAAAGAAAGCTCAAACAAATTATTAATCTATAAATCAGAAAGAAAACAGAAAGATAATCTGCACATTAATTGAAAATGAAAATAACTAAGTTGCAGCTGAAACGTCGCTGTCTTATATCTTTCAAAATTTAATACACAAAATATAAACTAGAGATACTCTATCTACAGATGTTTGTCTGTAATTAGTTTAATAATCAATCAAAAGTTATTTTTAAAGTAAAAGAAATCCATTTTTTCTTGTTTGAGGTTCTCATGAGCTGTCTTATCATTATAGTAACTTTAATATTTTTAGATTTTGAACATTTGGTTGGACAAAACTAGACATTTCATGCCATCACCTTGGGGTGTAGGAAATTGCAAGTGGCATTTTGAATCATTTTCTGATATTAAACAGACCAAATGATGAATTGAAAAAATTATCGTCAGATTATGAAATATAAATTGTTGCAGCCCTAATATGAACTCAGGCGATTCCACTGAAAACAGGAGGAAGAAATGTGTGTGAAAGTTCCTGAAAGTGTGTATAGGGGAAAAACTTTATGTCCTCCTCCTCTTCCAGGTGCCCCTGGGCGAGGCAGCATGCCTCCCTCTCCCTGTTACAGCAGCGAGGACGTGATCAGCTGCCAGCTCACGCGCTCAGTACAGTGCGCTCATCACAAGCCAATCACGGTGCTGCGAGCGGCCGCCGGGAGGGTTGTCACCGGTAGCCAGGACCACACTGTTCGGGTAATGCATACTAACATGTCAGCCTGGTGTCTGATGTAACAAGAAGAATCCTTTTTCAATCACCAAATCAAAATACTTGACCCACACCTTCACCAATGTTAAACTGAACAACTGTGAAATCTTACAAGGGTGCAGATTTGAAATCACAATGTAAAATACTGATGTAAAACTAAAATTACACTGTAGTCTCATCCATGTTTCATAAAAAAAAATGTATGTAAACAGTCTTATTGTTATTAGTGTTACTCTTCATTTCTAATAAATTCTTCCCCTGTTGTCTATTTGTCAGATTTATCGTCTAGAGGACTCGTGTTGCCTCTTCACCCTGCAGGGTCACTCTGGAGGGATCACAGCCATCTACATAGACCAGGTCAGTAACACACATTCTGCCAAATACTGTTTAATATCCTAATAAAAAACTATAGTCCTTCCACCAAAATGTCTTATGATTTTATTGATTTTTATGAATTAGCTTATGATTTTAGTTAATTTATGAAATGCCAGTATCTCTGTATGTATTGGTTATATGATATGGGTTGGGACTGAATTGATTTTAATATTTAAGCAAAAAATTGCTTTAATATAAAAAGTCAAACCCTTAGTTTCCTGTGAACATGTTTCTGTGTCTCTGTCTCGTCAGACGATGGTTCTGGCGAGCGGCGGCCAGGACGGCGCCATCTGTCTGTGGGACGTCCTGACAGGGAGCCGAGTCAGCCACGTTTATGGTCACCGTGGCGACGTCACCTCGCTGGTCTGCACCACCTCTTGTGTCATCAGCTCTGGGCTGGATGACCTCATCTGTATCTGGGACCGCAGCACCGGGATCAAGCTCTACTCCATACAGCAGGTACTGCTCTTTTTAGATCTCTAAAATGCACCAATCACCAGCGAGCATGCTGCTATGGCCAAGATAAACTGAGATTCTTTGTTGATCCTTCAACCTTTTTTCCTTGTAGTGAAGTATCTCATTAGAAAAGGTTTGAGGTGGCTTTTGCCTGGAATGGGAGGTGGAATCACATTTTGCGAATAAGTTCTGACGTATCGAACATGTAATTCACGACTGATCAGCTATTTCGGCTTTTGGCGTCTTGGCGGATATTTCCATAATGTGAAGAGACATGGCTGGTAGCAACTTGCTGGAACTCTCCATTTTTCTGAGATTCATGAACAGAACTGGTGATATTTTATTTTTGTTGTCGTCAACAAATCCTATGAAAAACCAACACTGAGTGCTCTGTTTTCTCGATTGTGGATTTCACAGGCTTATAGACTATACTGAGCCCCTTTACACCATGCGGTATTTCTCATACGTGTGCTTACCTGAGAGATATAACGTCATTTCAAGTCAGTGTTGCAGCCCTCAGTTTCACGGCAGATATATGGAGCTCGGACGTAACCGCACAGTAAATCTACACAGAATTCAATCTACATCTGCACACTACACACTACAATCTGCAGCCATCTCTGAGGCGTTCGCCAACATGTTTGACACTTGGCGTATTGACCGATCTAAAGTGCATGCGGTAGTCAGTGACAACGCAAGAAAGACAGCTATCTGAAAGGCATATGGTGCACGGCACACACAATTCAATATAGGCTATTCAGGAAGAGGGTCTCAAAAAAGGCCAAATAAAAATAATTAAATAATAAAATTTATTTGAAGTTATAGGCCTGTTGTGCTTGGTTGGTATAATGTTAAATATGTTCAGTGTTAAATAAATACCAAAAAAACAGTTTTTTCTTTGAAAAACAAGAAGAAAATAATTTTGGTGATCAGTTTTTTTTGAACATTACTCAAACGGGGGAAATTTTGTTGCACAATTTTCAGTGGCGCATTAATACACACTTGGTGCTCTAGTGAGTGTTTCAAGCAGCAGGAATGTGTGTGTGTGTGTCTCCTAATAAGCTAGCGTGAACTAGTGTGTTGATCAACAGAAAAGTAATTTTGATGTGATTAAACATTCAACATTTCCAGTTCATCAAACATGAAAATTGGATGAATTTTCTTTGATATCATTGTAAATGAAACACAGTTGGGATTTTTAATGTTAAATGGAGAAAACGGGCAATTTGAACATGTCACCGTGGGCCCTGGGACTTTTTGTTCGGACGCCTTGTACTACAGCAAAATATATCTTTTATCACTTTTTATCTCTGTCCCTGATGAGTCAGCCTAACCTCTGTTCTCCTCACCAGGAGGTGGGTTGCGGGGCCAGTCTGGGAGTGATCTCGGAGTCTCTCCTGGTGACGGGGGGCCAGGGCTGCGTCTCCTTCTGGGACCTAAACTTCGGTGACCTGCTGCAGACAGTCTACCTGGGCCAGAGCAGCGACGGCCAGGGCGTCCGGCAGCTACTGGTGCTCGACAACGCCGCCATCATCTGCGACTTCGGCAGCGAGCTCAGCCTGGTGTACGTGCCCTCGGTGCTGGAGAAACTAGACTGAGGAGAGACTGATGGACTGGGGGGGGGGAAGAAAAAAAACATTCACTCAGAACATCTTTTTCCTCTTCCTCATTTTGACTTAACAGGGTTTTATTTTTTTTTTTTTTTTTGCTTTCTTTTGTTGTTTCTGACCCCCAAAGGAGAGACTATCATTAGACTGGTTTTAATGTGCATACAAGGCTATTTTTATTTTAAGTACAAGCCTGGATGTAAAGAGGCGGGAGAAAAAAGCTGAGGACTGATTGTGCAACCTGCTGCATTTTATCGGAGAGGGGTGACAGACCCTCAATAACGAAGTGTTGACATTTTCGAGGGTCATGAGGTTCGTTCAAGAAAAGCCAGATTTTCCTCGCTTAAAGAGGACCCACCCGTCACCGGTCTGTGCTTTTTGTGTGTGTGTGTGTGTTTCGTTTTGTGGCTCTGCCCTCTATGCTGCTGATACGGGTGAGGCTTCACGGTGATCCCACCCAGAGAGGAAGATGAAACGGACTCCTTATTTTTTCATATTCCTGCTGCCTCTTTAGCTTGACAGCGATGTGCAGCCACAGCGAGCTCGGCGGGTCTACGGCCTGTTGGGATGAGCTGCGCAATTCTACGTAACTGTGTGTGTGTTGGAGACTGAATGAATGAATCTAGGCCTTTTTTTATGGCAAAACTGCTGAGAAACAAAAAATGACTGGTTGTGTGTGACATGTGTGCCTGCGAGACTGTGTGTGAGGGAGAACTGATGATTACTGTATCAAGTAAACCTCCAGAGGGGGCTGTTTTTATATGTATAAATCTATTATTTATTAGCGATACATTTTTGAATAACAGTTTGTTTATGAATGGCTAATCCTGGCTCTTAAACCAGAATATAATCGGGAAATAATGACATAAATGTAAGATGGTGATTATTTGTTTGGCAGGATAGGGGCATCGGTTACAAAACCATTATTTGTCATATTGAACTGGAAACACTGAAGTGGTGTTATGGAGTGGGGGCTGTGGGAGAAAAGGTGAGGAACCTTTTATCCCAGCCTCTGATTCTAGGGTTACTGATGCTAGACGAGGGCCCCCTGTGTGCTATACCTTCATCAGGCTACCTCCATTTTCCAAACTGCTTGAATTTTAGATTACTGACGTCATGTTTACATTGGCTGTCTTATTTTTTTTATAAATTGTGCCCTTTAGATTTTTTTAAATTCACTGTTTACTGTACCTGGTTCAGCTTAAACGGTTTCCAGGATTTTCATTTTGGCCCCCCAACAACAAAACTTTTTGCACTGCGTCCAATAGTACAGCTTGCCATGTTGATGCAAACTTAGTCTTAAAACTTCTTTCTTCATCCAGTAAGTGAAAAATGAAGTGTGATAAAAAGAGAGTTAAAATATATAACCAACAGCACTTCTCATTTAGAGACTCCAAACCATATGAAGACTCTCTCTTTTAAAAACTTTGCTCTGTTTTTTTTGCCCCTATAAGCTAATATTACATAACCATATACACACAGATGCTATTGTTCATTGTTTTTAGGATGTGCCCACAGTTTCTGTGCTCCCACAATGACAATTGTCTTATTCACTGTGACTGCAGAATTTTGATTACTCATAGATCTTTATCAGGCACAAAGCATTTCACAAGCTTCACATTAAATACATGCCAGTAAACAACAGGTATCGATTCTTATAGGAAATTTGCTGCAACCCAAGGCAGCTATGTACTCTGCCACAGTCAAGAACAATTGGAAGGTGAAGGATTACATGTTGCTTTTTGTGATTGGTATATATCGTGACACTTGTGGAAATGCTTTGCACCTGAGTGCAGGTTCTACCTTTTTATTTATTTTTTTTGCTTGCTCTTAAGTTACATTGGTTTGTTTTAAAATTCAATGAGCAGAGCCAAAGAATACACTGATATTGTGCTGTGTAATTCTGTAATTCGGCAGGGTGGTTATAAAAAGCCAACCACCTCTGTGGTCCAAAAATGTTTGGACTGACTAGTTTTATAGAAGAGCTCTTCCTGAAGTTAATGCTTTCACAGTCACAATTTTGGGACATCTAACCCCTTGTTTGGCTTTCCCTACTAGTCGCTGCCTGAACTTCACCCCTTTTCTCTGGATACCTGCTGACCCACATCCCTGCCTGACACCAACAACATACAGAATGTATTTTCTCTAAATCATCCACCATCTACTGTATCTGCGTCAACTGAATGTAGTCCCAGAAGGTGTGATGAAGAAACCCGTTAAAAATCAGCGACTACATCTATTCCAGTATCGCACCGCAACACTAATTCAATGCACTACTAACTCTCTCTGACGCACATGCTCACACACGTTAGGCACTTTTACTCAGCTTAAATACAGGAGATGTTGACGTAGCTAGACTTGCAAAATTGAGTTTACACCATGGATGTCTAATAAGACCTAGACACAGCGCCTCCGCTCAGCCTTGCTTCCAATTTATTCCAGTAGCCATGCATATTGCAGGAGAAAGCATTCTGCTATAGACCCCCTTTATAAAAAAGAGATGTCTGTAAAACTGTGGACAGGAACATCACTTTTTTTGGTTTAATACTTTCCTCAAGCCAAGTAATGCAATTTTAAAATCTGTCTCTCCATGTGGGAGAACCCCCAGAAGAAAACCCGGAAGCTAGAAACTTTTTAGGCGTTTTCGCCAGGCGAGCAGTTCCAGGTCTTATTATACATCCATGGTTCACACCTGCAGCACTTGTAAACACGCATAGTGCAGGTAACAGGTCTGGTTTCACTGGGATGCAGCAACCAAGTTCTGCATGAAACGAGTGGTTTATGACAACTGTTGACCTTCAGTGTCATTATTTACATTAAAATTGAAACTTAAAGAGACACCTGTTTTCCAAATCCCTCAGAAATCAGACTTGTGACCGCCTTGGCAGTGTAAGCTGTTAATTTATTAGCTTTGTGTTTTAGTCGAAAATGGGAAGATGATGATTTTAATTTTTTTTTTTTTGTACTTCTGTTTTCTAGCAATGTGAATTTGAGTTAAAGCAAAAGTTGGACATTTTGGGAAGTATGCTTAACGTTATTCGCTTTCTGGCATTCTTAACATTTAATAATAGCTAATGGTTAATTTACAGATAGCAGCCAGTTAGGTTACATAAGCGCAAAGACTGGAAAGCCACGTTCCTGGCTCTGTCCTATTGTGACAAAATCAACCTACCGGCAACTTTAAAGATAACAAATTAGTGAAGTGTAAAAAAATCACAGTTTGCCTTTAATGGAGGATTTTGTGATGAACTGTTTAACGGACATATACGAGAGAATAGTATTTATCTTATCTAACGCTCTGCCAGAAAGCAAATAAAAGTATTAACCAAAATGTCAAACTTTTTATCTTTGAAGTAGGAGGAAGGATTGGTGTGGCAATTACAATTTAATCTCAGCTTCTTTTGAATGTTTTGGTTCATCATTATGGACTTGGCCTTGCAACAGTCCATATCCAATAGACATTAGTCAGTTGATGAATACAGTTCTGCCCAGTTTGTTTCAGTAAACCATGCTTGTTATTGCTATTCAGCTTCAAACATACCATACTCTGGTTGCTTTCATTCATCCGGCTGTCAGTGTACCATATCAAAAGTGTATCGATGTAGCCATGACATCCTTTTATCCTTTAAGTTGTTAAAGCAGAAAAAGGATGATTTCCTTCGGCCGCATCCTCACAACAATGGCAGAACATTTAACGCTTTGTGGTCCACATCTGATTCCCAGGCAGCTGCCTAAACAAGTAGAAATCAGATTTTATATCATTTAACACTGTTTAGACAGCTTTCAGGAAAGTCTGAGCTGCTGGAGGAAAAAACTAAAATCTGTAACAGTAAAGTCTATAAATCCCTAGGTCTGCTCCCCCACCCCTAGCCTCCTCCCTTCATTGGCTGGCTACAATCTAAGCAGGCTGTAATAGTGGAGGTAACTTATTTACTATTTTTTAACACAAAAAAGATCGAGACTTTTTACTAATTTTCAAATAAAGAGGCTTTGATACCACAACAGTTGGTTGTCTACTGGGTTTATTTGATATTTTTACAATGAATGAAGTGACATTTTTCCAGAAGGACTTTTGGAGTAGTCTAATTTTATTTAAGATATTTACATGTTACAGAGGAAGAAAAATAATCGACTTGTTAAGACGTGCTGATTTGTATGCTTCTGTTAACCGTGACAACTGAGCTATACGCACTGACTGAGCCGAGTTTGTTTTGTGTCCGTAACATAGCTCCACCCGGCTCCTCCGGCCTTCCTGCAACTCCCATGCATCCTTTTTTTCCTGTTAACAATCACAGACCAGCGCAGAACGGAGAAGCCAAACACCAGTACACCCTGGTGATGCCTTGACGACCACCTGTGTAGGGGGCTATGAAAGTGGAGTGCATGCTGGGATTTTTTGGGGGGCCCGGATCTGATGTTCGAAGTGCAGAACAAGTTCCATCCGTGACAGACATGGAAAGAAAAGCAGCAGAAAGTGAGAGAGAAGGAATTAAGGAATACAGACTGAGTGCATAGTGATCTGGTCCCAAAAGCCAGCAGTGATGGAAGGAGAAGCAAGTGTGTTTGCGTTTCAGGTACCGCACCCCTAAAGCCATGGAAATACACCTAACTTCAAAACAGAACCCCTACTGTCTGCCACCAGGCACGTCTTGGTAATCAACACCGCTAAAATGTCTCACACTCTCAGGATTCAGTGTGTTGGGTTTTTTTCTTGAAAGCGGGGTTAGAAAGAGCTACAGGCCTTTGCTGATGCCTAGTGGTAAAGTGAGAGAAAGGACACGTCTCAGCGCTTGTTGAGGGTCCACAGGGGGTCCAGGCTACTGAGCGGGTCGTCACCTTCCTCCCCTCGAGCCCCGTGGATACCCTGACCCTCCGCTGGCTGCAAGAAGCTCTGTTTGGTCACCCGATGCTTCCCTTTGCCTCCTCCCTCCATGGAGAAGGCCTCAGGCGTTAGTGTGGCCAGCAGCTCCAGGGACGAAGGAGCCGGAGCAGAGGAAGCAGGAGGCGGGCTCACGCTGGGGGCAGCCTCTGGGACTGGCTGGTGGTTGGCTGGTGGTGGCGTGCATGGGGAGGCAGCATCCAGGCCGTTGGGTGGCGGTGGAGGAGAGTGGGTAGGGGAGGTGAGAGGTGGACTGAAAGAGGAGGGAGGCAGGGGATCTGTTTGGGGACAGGGGTACTGGAGCAGCTGGATGTCACCCAGCGAGTCAAGGTCGGGTAAGATGGGGCCCCCCTGCTCCTCTAAGCCAAAGTGGGCTTCCATGGCTGGGTCTGTGGCGCTCGGCGGCCGGATGCTGAGCTTGGCGATAGTGGCTTGGATGGAGCTGATAGGCATGTCACCACCGAGGACAATGTCCTGCTGGGACTCCTGTCTCAAGTAAGGCTGCAGAGAGAAGGTTCAGAAAAGAGAGAAAGCCTTAGATGAAAGTACAGAGAAAAGAAAGCACCTCTAACCACTGCTGCTCTGACAGCTCTACAGAAAAAGAAAGTAGTACCTCGTCTGACCCGAACACGTAGAAATCCTTTGGAGCAATTGGGTGTGCAAAATATAAGCAAGTGCAACGTTAAAACTTGCATGAAAATAATGAAAGAGATTGGAGTTAAAAGGGAATAAGATTTAAAGACTACACTAGAGGAACAGCAATTCTACTCCTATCAGACGGGTGATAAGGGTGAACAGAGCTCACAGCATTGAAAAATGTTTTTAAAAAGTCAACAGTGTTCATCAATTCTAGATGGTATTGATATGGTTTCATGTGGTGTGTGGATTTTCCGGGTGAACGTAATTGTTACTGCTGTTGAATATTTTCCGTAAAAGAAATTGTCATGGTCTGAACACCAGCCATCAATAACGTCATTACACACAAGTCAAGTCAAAATGTCCATCAAAATTAAGTCTGTGAGATGTGAATTCAGAGATACCATAATATAACAAACCATAACCATTAAGTTTGTTACTTTTCAAAGCTAGTCACATCTACTGGGCAGAGGCTGGTGAATGCCCCAACTTCAAAGCCAGTTTAACCATTTTACCATCTAGAGCACCTCAGTATTGTTTTGGACTTGGACTGGCGTCAAACCTTTGTCACTGCAGAGTTGGTGTTCTTGCTGCAGGTGGCGGTAGTGATGCCGTGTCGCTGAAGGACCTGCTCAGCATGCTTCAATACAGCCTCATAGCAGAACTTCAGGTGGAGCTAGAGACAGACACAAAAGATATATATAAAAATCTAAAGCTTTTTTTTTTAAATCGGAAAATCTACACTGTAATCACAGCACTTGGTTCAGTTCATTTGTACTTTATTTGTGATGTAAAAATTACATGAGGACAATAAGGTTACACGTAGAATTTACAACACTTACTGAGTCAGGTTTTGAAGCTGCACCTGTATCATCAGCACAACTTAAATAAAGTGGAGCCATAACAAACACTGCAGATCATTTTTAACAGCTATTCTTATAATGTGGACAGTATATTCAGGATATCAAAGGAAGTTCAGAATTTAAAAACATCATTGAGTGATCACCTCGTCCACTGAACCTCTGAGCAGCTACCAGGAGGTTAGTTAGGTCCAAGGAGTGGACTTAAATGTGGGTTCTAAAGTCCTCAAAATTTAAATTATAAATCCCTCACTCTGCACCTCCAGTACAACGTACTGCAGCTTTCAACTTGCATACAACTTAAATATTCCAAATATAGCCCAAACAAAACTTCAGATTTGTATGTCTGACCTTCTCCTGTAGCATGTTTTTCCTCTGTTGTCTCATCTTCTTCACCAGCAGAGGAAGGTCTGGGATCCCGTTTCCTGCCTCCAGCTCCTGCAGCGCAGCATACAGCAGACAGAAGGCGCCAGTGCGTCCCACACCCGAGCTGAGACAGACGGCGTGCAAGCAAATTAGCAGCACTTTACTTATCACACCACTGAGGAGTTAAAATTACAGTGGATCAAGAACAATATCCACTGATGCTTGGATTTTTTTTACCTACAGTGATCAACATAATGACATAATCTGTGTGGGTGAGTCACTAAAAATGAATCCAAACGTGTAATCATTTTGTTGAGGGGCCCATACAACCTTCTTCATGACCCCAATTGGGTCTCTGAACCCTACTTTTGAGACTACCACATTAGGGTCCCATTTGATCATATTTGCAACATGAGCTTATTTTGAACTTTTCTTTCCTTTTGACAAGTTTCCACCAATAAAATTAGGATTCTCAAATGTGTCTGCAATTTGCAGGAAATATTTATGTGTACACTTGATGCTGCCACAATTTATGTTTTTAAAAATGATTTTGTGAAATAGGCCTCAGCAATGATCCCTCATAAAGACAGAATATATATGAAATAATAAATCCTAAAATTCACCAGAGTTGAATTTTAGCCACTCTACACGGTGGCTGGCTGAAGAAAAAACTGACCAGCTATTTTGAAGTTAAGCATCATTTGGCTATCTTGAGTATATACTGTGGGACACACCATGACACACACACACTCACCTGCAGTGCACCACAACAGGTGTGTGTAAGGGCCTCTGGTGGAGGTAGTGTCCATGAACTTCCTGGATGAACCGCAGCAGGTTGCTTTTGCTGTCAGGAAGACCCCTGATGAGAAATATTAGAAAATTATGATTCCTCAGGGTGAAATGAGATTAACTGATTAAATGAGGTTTCTAATAATAAATCCCCAAAATAACCACAGTGATCAAATCTGCGTTTCTGATTTCTAGAGAAACTACTTTACATTTTAAATAGACACAAATTACTCACAGCTCTGGCCAGGAGGTGAACTGGAGATGGACGACAGTGCGCTTGAGGCTTTGGTCGCGGTACTGCAGGCTGATCATGCGCTCCACGTGCGTCGGTGTTGTCTTCTGAGTGGTTAGGCTGAGTGTGATTGGTCCCTGAGAGATCTGCTGGCCACGCTCCGTTGGGAAGTAGCGCACAACCTTTCCCTGGGAGAGATTGAAAATACAATGCTAAAAATACACACGACAACAGAAGAGGTAAAGAATGAAGAAATGACATTTACAGTGGGAATCTATAGGAGCGGTTGCAAAAAGAAACTTTAAACACCAAGCATATCCCATCCTTGAAAAACATTTAAGTAATTCTAATGATTATTTATATATTATTTGTTTTCGTGTAAAATTTCAATGAAGCAATAATTACATGAACTACTGATCATGTCATAAGATTGAAGCTCCAAAACCGCTAATAGAATGGATAAAACGTCCTTTAAGAACTTACACACACAAAAAAAATTGTATTTTGAAAAAGAAAAAGACCAAACTGTTATGTCTGAATTGTCTGCTGCACACCACGTTTTAATCACTTCCAAATTAATCACAGTGCAAACTAAACTAGGTCTGCACCGAATGTTTGGCCACTGAAAATAATCGGCCGAATATAGCAAAAAAAAGAACATTAGGTGTTTGGCCTAATACATCAAAAGACGGAAGACATTTTACCAAACAATTACGTTGACATGTCGGCAGTGTGGAAGCATTTTAAAGTGTCTGAGAAAGACTCAAAAATGGCCGTTTGCAGACACTGTTCTGCTGAATTGTCTCTTAGCACATCCACTCCATCTGTCTCACTTCTTAGAGAAGGCAACAAACGGTCTGACCCGCTTTGAGTGTTTTTGCCACTCGTTTGTGAAAAGACAACTGAGCTAGCTGCACCTAAATTTTGAGTGCACACATATTCTGGTAAATCCACTGTAACGGCCCAGAGCGAGCTGACAGGCAGGTTAGCGACTTTATCCTGTCAGTTTCTCTCTTTACAAAGACAAGTGTTGCAGTAGGAGAGTCCTACCTGAAGAGAGGCTATCGAGTCTTCATGTTACGCCATACGAGAACCACATCCAACATTATTTATCAAACTGGGTAGGACTTGATGAATTTAACGCAAGGATACACATGTGGCACCATCAGGTTTTCAAAATAAGTTGTCTATACAGGATGGAAATACGATTAAATGGATTATATTCACAGAAAGTATATGC